TAAAATTGCCTTTCTTCTAAACATAAATGATTGTAGATTTATGTGCTCTTATTCCTCTGGTCCTGGATAAAGACATACAATAGAACTTGTTTTTTAACTGTTCTTGATAATCTGATGGATAAAGTACTGGGATAGGAGTTTGGAAATCTGGATCTACCAGAAATTTGACACCTGGGCTTATAATTCATAAGACAAATATATCTGTTTCCTGTGGCAGGAAGCTTAAAGCATCATGGAAAGAAACTGTGGCTGGGAAGATCCTATTTCCAAACAAGGTCACATCTACAGATACCGGGGATTAGGACTTCAACATCTCTCGTTGGGGGACACAGTTCAGCTCCTAACACATACTTTTAGATCAAGGAGCCTGAATATTGCCCTTGCTCTAGTAGTTACACTATATTCAATACATTCACCACCCACCTGACTGATACTCTTCCTATATAAAATGTCTGTAAGTAGGAGGCTTCAGGTTATGTAAAAACAATTAATGACTATATGTTCTACAGATAAATCAGTTAACATATTTTAGCTCTATTTTGGATTGAGAGCAGTTACAACTAAATATCCAGGCTCTTGACAGTACGAGAATCCCCATATGATGTAAGCATTGTACATCCTTAGGAAAAAACACAGCCTCATGATATTTTGATAAGGATGGAAACAACAGCTTTGTAAAATGGTAGAAATTTAAAGAATTGTGCAGCCAAGCAAATCTTGGACTTGCTTACTGGTTTTTGAAAGTGAGAGAGTTTGAGGTAGTTATGGTTTCGTGATATATTCTGCCAGCAATGGCTGTGTTTGAGCATCTGCCACATAGAGCGAGCAATCTGTGCCAGGTTCCGGCTTACCCTCACCTAGTCTCCCCTCAGAGAGCAGCGCCCTGGGTCTGCTGCTGAATGATTTTCACAGCTGCTTTCCAGGCAGGAGGAGTGACATCCCGGCTTACAGAGGTGGAGCCTGAGTTTCCAGGAGGCGAAAATGTCCCTGAGGTCTCGAGATATAAGTGGTGCCAGGTCTGTCTGAATTCCAGACATTCAAGGGGCTCCTCCATGTAGTGTCCCTCTCGGTCAGCCTCCTGAAACACAGAGGGTTAACCTCTTGTTACTGTTACATATTTCACATCCAAAGCCTCTCAGCCTCGTTCAGGGGAGGGAAATAAAACATCAAGTATGTGTTGGGAGAATGGTAATGGGAATCAGGAAGAGCTTAGATTCCGTGTTATTCCTCTGTTTGGAAGAGTTATTAGAGTTGTTTTTGGATATTCTCATTTTCTTCCTTGCTTATGAGGTAGGATTGCTCTTACTTGCCCCCTGTGAAGGTATGGCCATGGGGCTTGTTTTGTGTAAAGAAACAGTAGCGGAAATAACCCCTGGGTCCTTGGCAGAGGTTCCTAGAGCAGGTGTGAAATGCGGATTGTCCCAGCACAAGTGGGGAGGGGAGAGGGGAAGCCTGGCCCCTGGCCCCTGAGTGACTGTGGTGAACACAACCCCTGCCCGCTCAGCCTGGATGGGGAGATAAGGGGAGTGTGCGCAGCAAAGAATCCTCTGGTTGCGTTAAGCTCCTGAAATGTTGGAACTCTGTATCCACTGCATATTCTAGTGTATTGTGGCTGATTCAACAAATTAAAGGACATAATACACAAAGTGGAGGTTCACCAGGAGTTTCCAGTAGAGAAAATTATTTGGGAAAATAACTCTTTAAAGCATCTTGCAGGAGACTCTCTTACCATGTCTACACTGTTAAAACGAAAAGCCTGGAGAACTGCGTTACGACATGAACGTTTGGAAGCCAGAAAAGTCTTAAATTCCCGGGATGGTTAGATAACCATCTCGTTCTGTGACATTATTTTTGTCCTTCCATATTGAAAACGTTGGTCTCCTAAGAAGTGTTTGTTCATTGTTCTTGCACTAAAGAAAATAGTTTGACAGGTGAGGAAGGAGGAGGAAAGTGGTGGCTGGGAAACCAGAGGACACAGCGAACAGTGACACCTTTATCCAGGCAGCCCCAGAGAACAATAACGGGGTTTAACTCTTAATTTCTGTTGCAGGAGGAGCACACGTTAAAGACAGATCTTCTATTACATTTAGTATCTTGTTTCTCGCTGGAGCCTCAGGCAGAACCCGGCATTAAATTCTGCTTTGCCTTGCAGTTACTCCGTTGAGTGTTTGAAAAGTCTTTCTTTATTCATGATGGCTTGCACTTATATCTCACTCTATAGATAATAAACTCCGTTTTTAATGAACAAAGCCATGGTTTTAGAAACTGAGAGCTGTTGCAACCTGACAAGAGAAATTTTCCTCCATTTTCCCACTAGAGTTGGGATAAGATAAATGACAATGGATACCGATGAGTTTACTAGATTTCAGAAAATCTGTAAGACTCCGAATATTAGTGATCTGCCATAAATTCATACTGCCTAGCTTAGTCTTAAACCCAACATCAACTTTCATTTGCTATCCTATACTGTTCGTTATATGACTATTTAAACATTTCTGGGACATAAACTTCATTGAGATAAAAGGAGGCATTGTCTCTTAGACTAGGGTCAAACGGTGTCACACCATTTATTATTAGAAGTACTACAACTGCAAGACTTTTATGCTTTCAGCATAGGAATAATAATTTTCCAATATTTTGGTCTTTTTAAATATAACATGTGTCAGGTCATTTTTGTCATTTTAATAGTCTTCTCGAGAATATCATCACCAATAGCAGCATTAGAGATGATCTAGTTCCCGAATCCTTGCATCCTTGGAGAGAAACCTTCTTCAAACATTACCTGACATGGTATCCAATATGCAATGCAGATTCTTAAAACAATACCATTGTATCATTTCAAACGTACTTATTATAAGGTCAATTGGTGAGGGGGAAACTACTCTTTTGAACAGAAAGACTTCATTTAAAGGGGCCTTGGCCTTCACTTTGTATTTTGTTTCATTTGGCAAGTCTTTGAATTACATGGTAAGTAGCTGCAAGTGGTAATAGTTTTTAGGAGTGTGTTTTACAAGGTGCACTCTTAATCCTTAGGAGACTCCAGTTTCGTAGGACCACAGAAAAGTTAATTTAGTAGCACACACTAATGAAATGTAAAACTATTGAGCTGAGTGTGATTTTTTTTTTTAAAAATCTAGCTTTAAGGTAGTTGAAGAAAAAATTTACAGAATCCCTAAATTGCATAGAATAACATTTGAAAACTACTAATTATGTTCTATGTAACAGTATCTCTAGTATAGATTCTGGTTGTACTATTTATTTTTATAGAAAAATTGTCAAATATTGTAGAAAATGTGAAAATATCTTTCACTGAAAAGAATTAGGTTAGTATGAGTTAAATACTCATGAAAAAATAAGGTGTGTTCTGGAAGTTTCAGAATTTTTTATTTTAATTTCCATTTTACACAATAGTAATAGTGATTGCCAGTTCAGCCCACAAATTATTTTTCCCATAAGTGACTTAAGTAATAATATTTAGCAATCTTTTGATTACACATGCACTTTTAAGTTAACTTGGCATTCTATTTGTGTTTTTTTTTTTAAATTCACATCCAGGGATGTGTTTATTGATTTTAGAGAGAGAAAGGAAGAGGGAGAGAGAAAGAGAGAGAGAGATCAATTAATTATAGGTGCCCTGACCAGGAATCGAACCCACAACCTTTTGGTGTATGGGACAATGCTCCAACTGAGCCACCTGGCCAGGTCTAGCTGGCATTCCAAAAGATCCTCGTGGCTCTTTCAATGGGCTTTTTAAAACTCTGATTTGTAGCCCTGGATTGGAAACATTCCACTCCCACTGGGTGGTAGCTAAAGAGAGTTTTTTTTATTCCCTGGTTGGAGAATTTTTATCCATGTACGAATGCAGCTACTGTCTCCTCTTTGAAGAAGCATCATAGATCCCAGCGTTAGAAAAGAATTCTGAAGATGGCCTACTTTGGTTCTGTGCTTTTACGTACATGGCTTTGTAAAGCTGTGCAAAGAGGAAACTTTTCCAAAGGCACACACATTTGGCACTCCTTTAGCAAGCTGGATATTTAAAGGAACCCTGTGGCAAATGCTGTTGCAAGGCAAATGCTCCTCTAAGGTGGCATCTGAGTAATGGGAAAGCTCCTGGGGCTTTATTATTATTTTTTTAAATATATTTTTGTTGATTTCAGAGAGGAAAGGAGAAGAGTGAGATAGAAACCTTAATGATGAGAATCATTGATCAGCTGGCTCCTACACGCCCCCTACAGGAGGTCAGTTTGATTCCTAGTCAGGGCACATGCCAGGATTGCAGGGATTGAGCCTCCTGTCCCATAGGTGACACTTAACCACTGAGCCATGCCCACCTAGCAGCTCCTGGGGTTTTAAAAAGCCTTTGGAACTCTGCTGCACTCCCCCACTGATGGCAGTAATTAGCGCAATGGTCCTCCTTGAAGACAATGCCCAGGCTCTCAGCAGCCAGCCAGTGGTGTGGTCCCCAGATCCCCAGGGCATCAGGCCTCCTGCTTACCTGCCACTCGGTGGTGCCAGGCATTCCTCTGTGGACGGGCAGGCATCTCAGACTGCCACCAGCCACCAGCTTCATATTAAATTCGGCACAATGACTATAGGCTGGTTGGTACCAAAGTTAAAACGAGAACTACAAACGAGAGCGTTATCACCAGTGATTTCTCATGCCACTTCCAGCTGACGAGTCTAGGAAACAAGCCCAGCTTGCTCGTGGGTTTCGACGTGGAATTACATAAGCAGTTGTTGTGTGTCAGAAATTGACCCGGAAGGCTGCTGTGAGGTCTGAAGGTGGTCCCTGCAAAGTATAGGAACATGGCCTGGAATGTGTAGTAGTAGTTGCAGTACTAATTCTTAGTCATTTTTATCATTTCATTCTTACTATTGTTGTTATTATTTTGAAGTCTCGTTATGCCTAGGAAAGTGTTACCACTAACGGTAAATAAAGCGGAGTAAAGAAACCCTGGTTCCTAATGCCCTTTCTCCCTCCCGCCCTGTGCCCCCTGCAGAATGTGATAAGCTGCGGCGAGATGGCTACCGGAGCTCTCAGTACTACTCCCAGGGACCCACCTTCGCCAGCTCCAGTCCACCCAGCGATGAGTATCAAGATGAGGATGATGAAACGGATCAGAAGGTGAGGCTTCCAAATTCAACATGGGATCCCAGAACAGAAAAGGATATAAAGGGGGAAACTGGTGAAATTAGAGCAAAGTGTGTTGTTGTTTAAGTGTGCCAGGGTTTTGCAGCACACCAACAATAAAGGACTCTGGGTAAGAATACACAAGGAATTCTCAGTACTATCTTTGTAAGTTTTCTTGAAGGATAAAATTAGTCTGGGGGGGTGGGGTTAGGGGGGAGTTCCTGATCCAAACAAGTTATTAAAGAAGTATAATCAATATATTTGTGCATTTTGAATAAATGTATTTCTTTTGGTTAAAGAAGTAAAGTATCTTATTTCTGTTGTTTTGCTTTGTTCATGTGACCAAGAACCTAGTGAGATTACAAAGAAGAGCTCTAAGGATAGCAGCAAAAAGCCATTGTTTCATAATTGGGCAGTGCTTTTACCTAATATTACAGCGCTGGGCAATTTGCTTTCGTGATGCTGTTTGATATCTGCATTCCTTTTTCCCACACCATCTTTTGTGATATGTGTAAACTACTTAAGACAAATATTATTTCTCAGTACTAAATTCACATGGAAGAATAAAAATGTATGGAGATTTTAACTTACATGGTTTTATTTTTCATTTTATTAAGGAATGTTGACTGACACTAATTACCTAATAAGGTTTGATGAACAGGGTTTGCTTTAGAAACCATTTTAAATTAACGTAAGAAATTTCAGTGGAATTTAGGTCAATACATCAAAGTCTTATTGTTTAGAGAACAGTATTCAGAAATTATTATCCTTTCTCAAATAAGTAACATCAGAGCAAAAAAGTAGTTAACAGTTGTTCAAAAATAGAAAATTAATACATTAAATTTTTGGTTTTCTAATGAAGATTGGATCCAGATTTTTATTACAGAACTAGAGGCCCAGTGCATGAATTCATGCAACAGTGGGGTCCCTAGGCCTGCAGGTGCAGGGCAGACTGAAACCCTCTCTCCGACATCTCCTGAGGGGTCCCAGGTTGTGAGAGGGCACAGGCCAGGCCATCTGATCCCACCGGTGCACGATTAGGGCCGGGGTGGGACACAGGAGATTGGCCAGACGGGAAGGGACTATGGGAGGGCTCCAGAGTATGCCTGCCCCATCTCACTCAGTCCCAATCAGCCGGACCCAAGCAGCAAGCTGACCTACCAGTAGGAGCATCTTCCCCCTAGTTGTCAGTACATGTCATAATGAACCGTTGAGTGTCTTTAGCATATCATTAGCATATTACACTTTGGTTGAATGGCTGACTGATTGACTGGACACTTAGCATATTAGGTAGGCGGTGGGGATGGAGATAAAAGATGAAGAGACCAGTAGACTGTCTTAGAAGGGACACATGAGTTAAAGGTTTAGGCAACAGGTGCTCTGACATCAAAAGCAGTGCTTAGAAAAAAAAGCATTACTTGCATTCAATAAATACTAAGCATTTGTTATATGTTTAAGACAGAAGCCCTATCCTAAAAGGAGAGTTGCTAATAAGGTCAAGGTTAAGAATATATAAATTAGAACAGAGAACCTAGAAGACATCTGTTCAGATTATTTATTCTGGATAATTATTTTAGAATAATAAATGCAAAGCATTTGCCAAGTAAACGTCAAGTTCATGGTATGAAAAAAGGTATTTGGCTAATGATAACCATATATATCTTTCAAAGTGATGACATAGTGTGGTGAGAAAAAAATTGTTTGAAGTGTTTCCAACTATGTATGTTCTGTACATCATCTAAATATTAAACATGCTGCATGAAAAATGCTGTCTGCAGAGGGGTGTAGGAATCCACAAATTCACCCACAGAATCAGAAAGTAAATCATTACTTTAGTGTTGTTCTGGTCTTCACATTTCTGTTTGGTTCTTTCAGCTTTCATTGTGTGCCAGGTACTACCAAAGAGGTTATTCAGGTATTTGAAGGAAGTTCAGCTATAGATGCTAAAATACATCCTGTGAGTCGATAGGGCATTTCTCCAACTGCCATGTCGGAGCTTATATTTGATGATATGTTGTTCACAGTCCCAGACACGTTCATAGAGGCCCCGTTGTCTCAGCAGAAAGCATATCAGTCATGAGTTACTCAATCGCTTGTATAAAATTCACCCCCAAACAGATAAGTGAAGCTGGGGTTATGGCAATAAACAGTTGGGTTTAATAGTATTGGTAGAAACTGAAGTTTTCTTTCCTATTTCCTGTCATTCGTTGAACTGGCATCTCAGGTTCTGTTTTAGTCTTCCTGGATCAGAGATATTTGAAGCAAAGGAGGACTTTGAAGAATTCAGAGGATAGCAGCCTTGCTCCCTAACTGCAGGTGTCGGAGGCTTACCTAACATGATGCTTGAGAGCACTGGTCTGGGCCAGCTTTCCGTGGCAGCGGTCTTGGCTAAATTGCTTGTGAGCTTCAGTTTCCTCAACTGTAAAGAGTTATAAACCACATGTTCTGGTTTGCACCCTGGTTTACAGCTGCTGTCCTGTGTAATTATTAATAGCACCGCCTTCACGCTCAAAGGCAGTCAATAAAAGAATAGATCAACCAAAGGACCTTTATGCATGCATATAAGCCTGACCAGCCACAGACACCAGTGGGGTGAGGGCATGAGTGTGTGTGTGTGGGGGGGGCGGGGAGCAATGGGGAGATAAGGACAAAAAAATGGATAAATAAATGTGATATTGGAATGCAGTATGTATCCAAGTAAAATCAGTGAATTGCAAGCTCACACATTATGCATGTGTCTTAGAAACATAATAGAAAGTAAATAAGTAACAGTGCAAAGAGGACGATACCATTTTTATAAAAGTCCAAATAAATATAAACATGTAATTTAGGCATATTTATACACACTTGTTAAAAAAAAAAAAAACAACAACCAAAAAACCTAAGGGAATGATTAACACACAATTCAGGAGAGTGATTACTTCTGGGGAAGCAGGGAAGAGCATGGAGGTAGATGTATTACTGGTAATATTGTGAGCATGGGTTGGATAGCAAGTTCTTAAATATTCATTATGTTGTACTATATACTTTGGATCTATGATTTACTCCAATCAAAAGATTATTAAAATAAGAAGTTACCATGTCTGTTAAAATGTATACTCTAATTACCTATTTTCATTATTTTGAGGAAAAGATCACTTAATATGGGATAGTTTAAATCCAAACTATTTTAATTCAGTACATGGTAAGAAAGTTTCTATTTAGAGTCCTTGACAGGCCTAGGTTTTGTGATAAAAGGACTAATATGCTGACTAAGAGAGAAGAAACAATTAGTTACTTAACAATGTGAGTATGAAAACCACCTCCCAGCCAAATCATGGAGTTGCCGGGAAGAATATGAACTGTGCTTTCGTGTGGATCCATGTCCACTGCGCCTGATCTTCTGTGTTGTTGTTGTTGTTGGGTCTGGGATGGGGAAGGAATAGGAGAGAACAAATTAAGTCAGGATCTTGTGGGTCTGTGTAGAAGCAGCATATAGCCAAGAAAGACTGAAATAGTTTTGACACTTTATAAAACTATCTAGAATCTTCAAAACCAAAAATCAACCCAAAAGAGATACAATTTTGGGAGTAGAACCAAAGACTAAAAGGACTAGAATGTATGTTGGTGTTCTCTTAAACAGTGTCCTATGTTGTTTCATCTGTTCAGTGTCTATTCTTACGTTATAGTTACTAAGTGAATACTAAATTTAGCTGTTTATAATTATATTTTCCAATTTTTAAAAGCAGATTTTTTTTTTTAAGCCTGGGATAATCTGTGTTTCACAGTTAAGCCTACGTTTCGGTAACTTGGCCATTTGCCAAAGAGACCGTACTTCAGGCCCCACTGTCCATCTGGTGGGAGGTTGCCTGGTTTCCACACAGGGCTCGGTGGGCTCTGAAATGCAGGTCTGCCAGCATCCAGAATCTACACAACAACCACTGGTGAGAGGTGGTCTCCCTGTTTGAATTAAGTAATGTGACATGAGGAATTGTGGTTTCTTAAGCTTTATTGGTGACTCTACCTTCTTTCCAGGACCAGATTATCGATGAACATTATTTTATTGATGAACATTATTGACCAATTAACAGCTTTAAAAACTGTGTTTAAGTTCTGAAAGCAAGGCAACTTCAAATTCAGTGTTTAAAAAAGTAATTCACCCACTTTTGAACTTTCCAAAAGTAAAGTTATTTTAGGCCACTTTCTTCTTCTTCTTCTTCTTTTTTTTTAAATATATTTTATTGATTTTTCACAGAGAGAAAGGGAGAGGGATAGAGAGCTAGAAACATCGATGAAAGAGAAACATCGATCAGCTGCCTCTTGCACACCCCCTACTGGGGATGTGCCCGTAACCAAGGTACATGCCCTTGACCGGAATCGAACCCGGGACCTTTCAGTCCGCAGGCCAACGCTCTATCCACTGAGCCAAATTGGTTTCGGCTAGGCCTCTTTCTTATTGACAAAGTGAGGCTAATGCTGTGAAAATTGAATGAGGCACCAATTCCTTTAAAGCCTGTAACCCAAGTGAAGCCATGTAGAACTCAGTTACTAGATGGTGGTCCCTTTTTAATTTTAATTTAAAATAAATATTTTTATTGATTTCAGAGAGGAAGGGAGAGGGAGAGAGAGAGATAAAAACATCAATGATGAGAGAGAATCTTTGATCAGCTGCCTCCTTCTGGAGATCAAGTGCATAACCCCAGCATGTACCTTGACCAGAATTGAACCCAGGGCCCTTCAGTCTGCAATTCCGATGCTCCAGTCACTGAGTCAAACTGTACAAAGAGCTATTTCAAAATTCTGAGATAGCTGTCTGTACAGTTCCAATTTAAAGGTTCCAGAACTTACATTCTCTTGGGAGAGACAAGTAACTAAAATATGTGCATACTGGTGATATATATGAACTAAAGAGAAGCTTAGAAAGCTGAAAAGGGGGTATAAAATCTTGAGATGGAGTTAAAATTTTAGGTAGGGTGAACAGCTGAGACCTCAACAGGAAGGAGACCCTTGACTAAACCAAGCACCTAAAGAATAAGAAGGTGATACTTGCGTGGATGTCTGAGGGAAGAACATTTCAGGTGGTGAGAACGAGCACAAAGGCCCCGAGGCAGTAATGTGTGTGATGAGTACCAGGAATTTTGTGGAGTATGGTGTGACGGGGTAGGATAAACAGGGACAGACTAGTTGGGAGATGAGGTTGTTGTTGGCAGGGGGCCAGTTCATAGATCACGTACGTAGGGTTTTGTAGGCCATCGTAAGGATCTTGGAGGCTATGAGAGGGGGAGCACCCTGTTGGAAGGGGAGGAATACGGGAGGGTGGTCAACAAGGACAGAAGCATGCAGACTAGTGAAGAGTCGAAGGTGATAATCTGGAGCGCTCCGACGCCGGTCTTAATGGAATACTTGTGAGGTGTTCTGCCCTTGAGATGCAGGAGGTTTTTTCTGTGTTCCTGCTGTATTTGTAAGTACTAGGAGGGATGGGAGTCAGGTCATTTTGGAAGTCATACCATTCTGGTTTTCAAATTTTCTTCAGTAGATTGTAGCACTGCATAACAGTCACTTTGCAAATAGCATTACCTGTGCCCTGTGTGTCTGGGAAATTTTCTTGCAAACGAAGGGAGCACTTTACAAAATAGATGATCTTTGCCAGCTGTCACATCGGAGCTGTCCCTGGTGATCGTCCCATGGTCACGAGGCTAATGGAAGTACTGTTTCATGGTGATAGCTGTCGGTTCTGACAGCTGAAAGAGAAGTAGGTTACTAGGCCTGATGAGCACCATTGAGACGCATGCAAACCACAGAACCCAGCTCCTCCGGGTTCCTCAGCGACCCGGCCTCACACGAAATGGGAATCCCCTCCGCAGGATGTCGCCGTGCTATTTATTCTCTGGCCCTTTGAGGTTTTCCTTTCCTTTCTTTTAAGCCTTTCAGTTAGGATGTGCTTCTTAAGGCCTTCCAAATTTGAGTGATATTTCAAGGTTGCCTGGAAAATTATTTCTGTGTAAATATATCAGAAAACTGGAGTGGCCTTTTAATTTACTAGATTAAGACTCAACCTCAGACATGTGACCTTTACACAAATTGACATGAAATTCTCAAAATTAGTTTTACTTTATGTGTATGTGTATCTGCAGTGTAAGAAAAGAGAATCTGTATTATAAATCAAACTTAACAAGAGTATCACAACTGCAAAGGGGGCAGAAATAATTGATTTATGTCAGCCTGGCTTAGCTGACTCAAACATTCCTTTGTTTTTCCAGGATCTGTAGGAGCTGTAACCAGTGTCATGTAACCATATCCAACATGAATGGATATGTATCATGATTAAGACGCCAGTAACACATACTCCAAATGAGTATGTTTGTTATTTAATTACAGACATTTTATAGTTTGTTATTTAATTACAGACATTTTATAGTTTCCTTAGGTGAAAAAGAAACTAGATTATCATTTTACATGTTTTATGTATTAAGAATTTAAAATAAAAAATACTGAATGTCTAGTTACAATTTATATTTTTATTTCTATACTCGAGGCCCAGTGCACGAAATTCATGCACAGGGGTGGGGGAGGGGGTGTCCCTCAGCCCAGCCTGCACCCTCTCCAATCTGGGACCCCTTGAGGGATGTTAAACTGCCCAGTGGGATTGGTTATAAATGGACAGTCAGACATCCCTCTCACAATCCAAGACTGCTGGCTCCCAACTGCTCACCTACCTGCCTTCCTGATTGCCCCTAACTGCTCCTGTCTGCCAGCCTGATTGATATCTAACTGCTCCCCTACCAGCCTATTTGCCCCCAACTTTCCTCCTCTGCCAGCCTGGTCACCCCCAGCTGCCCTCCCCTGCAGGATTGATTGCCTCCAACTGCCCTCCCTTGCAGGCCAGGTCCCTCTCAATTGTCCTCCCTTGCAGATGTGGTGCCTCCCAACTGCCCTCCCCTGCTGGCCATCTTGTGGTGGCCATCTTGTGTCCACATGGGGGCAGCCATCTTGTGTGTTGGAATGATTGTCAATCTGCATATTACTCTTTTATTAGATAGGATAGAGGCCTGGTGCATGGATGGGAGCCAGCTGGTTTACCCTGAAGAGTGTCCCAGATCAGGGTGGGGGTTCCCTTGGGGCGTGGAGCGGCCTGAGCAAGGGGCCTGTGGTGGTTTGCAGGCCGGCCATGCCCCCTGGTGACCCAAGTATCTGGAATTTATTTACCTTCTACAATTGAAACTTTGTAGCCTGAAGTGGAGCCAAGCCTCCTGCTCACTCTGTGGCTGCCACCATTTCTATTTGGATTTGTTTACCTTCTATAATTGAAACTTTGTAGCCTTGAGTGGAGACTTAGGCCAGCAAGGGCAGGCAGAAAGCTTGGCTTCTTTCATTGCCTGGGAAACCCAAGCCTCCCTCCTGCTCTTTGTGGCTGTAGCCATCTTGGTTGGGTTTATTTGCATACTTGCTCTGATTGGCTGGTGGGCATGGCTTGTGGGTATAGCGGAGTGGTGTTTAATTTGCATATTACTCTTTTATTAGCTAGATGCCTTTTTTATGGATAGTCTTACAATAAAAGAAAAATGCAGGTACTTGTCAATTCATGATTTTGTTGTCATAAAGTAGCATTTATATGTCTACCACCTTTATGGCCATGATATTTAACTGCCCTAGACATTTCCACAGCTATCATCTCATGAGGTCCTAAGAGTACAGGATATTCCCATTTTACAGCAAGGGACCTCAACATTTAGGAACAGCCTAAAGGTCCCTTGACTGTAAGTTATAAAGTGAATAGACTCAAGTGTTTGAATTCTTTGCCTAAGACCCTATCTATCCCTAACACCCCAAACCATTTTCATCTGTTCTATGTAGCCCTTTTCAGATTGTCAGCAGTATTTGTAGAATACATACAGGTATTTAGTGGGAAGTTTAATTCATTAGCAGTAATGATGACAGTGTTCTTCTGGGTGTTTGAGATTTCTAAATGATGGGTTTCTGTAGACTTTTTACTGATGTCCTCTCAAAAACTTGTATTAAATCCAGAAAGACATTAACATATGCTTTTTAAAAATGGATCAATCTTTGCCTGGCTGGTGTGGTTCAGTGGTTGTGTATTGACCTAATGACCAGGAGGTCACTGTTCGATTCCCATTTAGGGCATATGCCCAGGTTGTAGGCTCGATCCCCATTTGGGGAGCAGGGCTGGGGCAGGTGTGGGGGGCCAGGGAGGAGGTATGCAGGAGGCAGTGGATCAGTGACTTTCTTTCATTATTGATATTGATGTTTCTCTCTCCCTCACCCTTTTTCTCTTTGAAATCAATTTTAAAAAAATGTATGGTTGTTGTTGTTGTTTTTAAAGTATCAATCTTTCCAAATGAAATGTTGGGTGAAAGAAGTCACAAAAGAGACCTGCAGTATGAGTTCCTTTACAGAAAGTTCAGTACAGGCCAAGGAAGCTGTGATGTTAGAAGTCATGAGGGCAGTTACTCTTGTTTTGGGGGGGAGGGGAGCTGCTGAAGTGACCTGGGCCCTGGTTTTATAGGTGTTCCCTTGGGAAGGTTCACTGACTTTTTATTCTCAAGTAAAATTCTTTTAAGTGCCGTATTTTCACAGGTGGTAGTTTAAACACTTTCTACCTGAAGCGTTTAATATACATTTATTAAACGTTCTTATACACTCATTCTTATTATAAACTGCCATCTCCCAACAAAAGTCAGTCACCCTTTCTGTTGTTGTGCCCGAGCTCAGTGGATTTCTTTTGAGTTCTTGGAGCTTCCTTGTCACCAGCCCAGTTGCCATGGGGCCATCATCAGATGCTTGCCAAAACAGCTTTCTTGCTTACTCTTTTTAAGACATGATGGGAGGAAAGGTATTCAAGATGGTCCCCAGTTAGGATGTTAATCTGTATCAAAACCGACACTGCTAGAAATGTTCTCATGGAATTCTGATAAGGCTCAGGGCACAGCTTTAGTCAGCTTCTTATAAGTGAGCAATTTTACACGGATATTTTTCCATATAAATGGCTTCGGAAGAGCACAAGTAGTTGAACAACAATAGCTCTATCATTTTCCAAATGTCCCTGGAGGCCAGGGCCTAAAGGAAATGAGATTGAGGCTAGAAATTATTTTGAGCCAAACTGCATTTTAATAAAAATGGAAATTGATGTCCACAACTGTGTTGTGTCTCTGGGCTTCTTATGTTAAACTGAATCCGTAATCTTCCGACCACAGGAAACAGGAAGAATTTAAGATTCTGTGGGTCAGCAAAACCTTCCGCCGTCTATGGCTTAGGGCCTCTGGCCTCTGCGAACCATAATCATTACAGGTCATGCTCAGGATGCCGAACCAGAGTTCTTGCAAACCATTGCTTCTGTTCCTAAATGTGACCGGGTGTTTTTGTTTGTTGTTGTTTGTGTGTTTGTTTTTACTTCAAATCAGTTTAAATTTTAAAAAAAAAATGTTTCTGTCAGCTCTTTACACACCGTGGCTTCTTTTCCCTCATTTCCCTTACAGGGTTCTGTCTCCTCCTCAGAAGAGGAAAGACATATGCCCACCAGGAGACCTAAAACGCCAACCTCAAGTGACTTCCCTGATCTTAATACTCAGACGAACTGGGCCAAATCTCTTCCTTTGCCAACGCCAGAAGAGAAGATGCGACTGCACGCCCAGACCGTCCAGGCCGATGTGGTTCCGATTAACATAACCGGTATGCTTTGCTGTGTAGACAAGGTTCAAAATGTACTCCGGGGAATGACTGTGGCTTTTTGTTGCTGTTGTTGTGATATGCACTTCGCATTTTATAAATCAGACGGAAAGCTGTAATATATGTATATTCCTGATTGTTGCTTAATGAAGGGAATACTAAAACTTATTTATATGTGTACATGTACAATAGCTATAGCTTTTAAGTAAGAAGGCTGTGTCACCAAAGGTTGATGTGGAAGAACTACTTGGTCCAGCTGCTCATTTAAAGCCTATTTTTTTTTTAAATGGACTTACCTTTAAAAAATATTTTGATTATATGGAGACATATTATAAATGTGATTTTGGATAAGAAATATTTATGTGGGTTTGTTTGTTTTTTTTCCTAAAAGTTATTTTAAGTAATATTTATAAAGGTAAAGAAATAACAATTTTGTGATATTTCTTAATGATAGATTTTATCTTTTTGTTTTCTCAGGTAAAAGAGAGAAAAATTACTTGAAATAAAAATATCAAGAGAATTAATAATAACTATAAAATATATTTTTTTAAATCTTAATAGGATGGTAAAGTTATATTTTGATCCCTAAAATTTAAATTCTACAATCTTCAAATAAAAGTTAATTTTTAATATAAATTTTTAGAATATAAATACTAGTTGCCATATCTAAAATTCAAGTTCTTTTAGAATGGTATGCTCAAGTTTTAATCACCTGTGATGATTAAAGGTGACAAATTACGAAGTACATGAAGTTCAAAGTCAGTATTTCACCAACTTAGATGAGCTAAAAAATTTCCTGTTTTATCACGTTGGTAGGCATGTACACGGTGCAAAATAGATATGTTAAGAGTTTATAGCTTCAGCCATTGGACTGTGTGTTAAAAGGAATAGAGTACTGATCATCCTCATTGATTATCAGTCCATACAAAGCATGGCTTACAGGGCTAGAATCTAAAAGAAATCAGGTGACCAGTAAGGATGAATTTTCATTAAAAAATTAGGATGAAAACCAGAGCACACTTGCTGCGTTTCTGAGACTGTTGCTGTTCACTGCCTTTAGAAAGCTTTTTGCCATGGCATTGTTAACTTTTAAAGGACTTATGACATTTTGATAGTTATTGAAGAATTCTTTAAAACCTTGCATTTAAAAATTACTTTTAGAACTCATTTTGAATTCCAGAGGAATGTAATAAATAAGTGCATGAATTATTTTAAATTCCATGGGCATTTTCACACATTGAGCATAGGCCTTAAAGGAAGAATATCATGGCATTTTGGTCCATTTCCTTTTCAGGTAACATCATTGATATTTCTGAATGTGATTCTTGTTCACCTAGATCACATTTATTAAATATTATTTTTTATAAGTAACTATGTTTCAGAACAAAGCATAAAGTTTATTGCTCAATGAAATACATAGGTGCATATTTTCTACAAGAATATGCACTACATTATTTGATTGATTAAATGCAGCAGAATGTAATTATATATGATTAAATGCCTCAGGAATAATATTATAAATAGATTGTGCTATGAAATATGACAATCCTTAATGGAATTAGGATAAAATATATTATTGTGAGATAAGTAAATTTAAAGCAGAGTAACTAGAATTTTAGGAGTAATGAATTATTTACAGTGAAATGCATTGTCACAATAGGAGACAGTGTCCTTTCTTTGAGCTTTAATCCTCTCCCGTTTGATATGAGTTACATGAAGTTTAAAAGGAGGCCTTCAGAATGTCACATAGGAAAGGTTAATGACAAAAAAAAGGAGCAATATGAGTTATGTCAAAATGCAATTTATTTTTGTGTGATTAATGTTTTTAGAAATGTAGATATTAATCATAATTCCTAATTACATATTTATTGATCCATTTTCTGGATGTTCACATACACATACATATATTTCATAGAGGGAATATTTTTCTAATATTCTGGTATAAAAAAAGCATTAAATTAAATATTTTCACTTTTAGTAGTTGAATTGACATAGGTTAAACAGTTTCCTGCTATTTAACTGACATTTTCTAAAGCCCCCGATGACTTTTGAGATAAAAATGTACCTTCCTGTCAGGAATTGTCAAGTGCTCCTTTATTTGGGTAAACGTTGACCCTCTAGTGTGATTCTCAGTAAGGTTCAGCTGGGGAGAAAGTGCCAACAAATATATTATTTCAAATCCGAGGTGAAGCCTGCCAGGCATAGAGGTGAAACATTAGCACAAGGAGCTACAAGCTTAAAAACCCATGTAACCCCTTCAGTTGTTGTTCTGTGGGACTCAGCATGTTCTGAATGTTGAAGAGAAAAAAAAAATCTTTAAAATAAAATGTATATATGTTTCATAATCTGCTAGGTGGGATAACAACTCTTCCACCTGGAAAATAAGAGTGGGTAAACATACTTAAGCAGTTTTTACAAACTGGCTTTGTATTGATGTTTGAGCCAGCAAAATTTATTTCTAAATAGTAACCATGACTAATTATGCCATTTTTTTCAATGAAAGAGAATGATTCAATTCCTCTCAGATATTTGCTGAATATTCAGTATTTACCTAATACTGAATTGGATTATAAATTTCTTGAAGGCTGATGGACTATAAATTTCTTGAAGGCTGGTCCCTGCCTTCAAGAAATTTATAGTCCATCAGGGGACACAGTCCTTGTAGGTAACAGTGCAAGATAGAGAACTTTTTTATATCTCCCCCCCCATTATATTTTTATTGATTTCAGAAAGGAAGGAAGAGGGAGAGATAGAAACATCACTGATGAGAGAGAATCATTGATCAGCTGCCTACTGCATACCCCCCACTGAGAATCAAGCGGGCATGTGCCCTTGACTGGAATCGAACCTTGGACCCTTTGGTCTACAGGCCAACACTCTAAACACTGAGCCAAACCAGCTAGGGCAAGTTTGACATCTTTAATGGTGATGTCTATCCTCATGGTTTGTTTTTTAATTTCCTGGGAGCTTGAGAGGTTTATCTTTTGTTTTTATTTAGGAAGCAAAACTAGAGACCAAATACAACTATCTATTAATATTTGAACCATTCTTAATGCCTTGATACAAGGAAATATTTTCCTCTCTGCTGCAGGCAACTAATGGACCATTGAAGGCATGACTTGCCACTTATAAACACCTTACATGGCTGTTGCACAGAGCGACACATTTGTTACAGCGATGGTGCCTTCTGGTGTCTCAGGATCTTCTCTCAGTGGTTTCTGTTTTCCTCCATTAGGAGCAAAGTGGCAAGAGTTTTCAAGTTGAAGTTTGTTCCTTAGTAGGTGAAATGCAGTTTGATCCTTCAGCTCTTTTATCATCTGTTTTGATTAGATAAAATTTTATTTGCAACTTATTCCTATTATGATAGAAAGTACTTTCTTCACAAAATGCCCACTTTGAATAGGCCAGTATTACTAAAAAGAAAGAATGCTTTTACACTTTTCTCCCAACAAAAGAGTGGTGGGAGTACATAATTTGTGTGTGTGTATATATATATATATATATATATATATATATGCATTTTTAAAATCTTTTCTGAGGAGGTAACCACTTGACAAGGTCAGTGCTATAAAACTTTCTTTAATTAAGCTGGCAAGTCATTTAAAGCGGACCAATCAAAAACTGATACTTTATTTTTTTAATGTTTTCCCATTGTGTGTCAATCACATAAGCCCACATTCTCGAGAGAAAGAAGTCCTGTGGATCTGACATTTGGGGGGATTGATTGCAGCATTACCGGAAATGTGTAAATTCAGATCAACTATTATAAATGACCATGACTAAAGAAGCAGTTCAGCTTTAACAACAAGCAATGCTACTGGGTCTCATTGTGGTAAAAGTCCTTTATCATTATAAGGCTTTTTATGTCTCATCAGAGTATCTCACATCACAGCTACCTTCCGTAGCCTGTCCAAATTGTCCGCCTCCTTGACTGGAAGAAAAACTCTTCATCTAAGAGTTCTTGAGTTATCTGTTTCATCACATAGGATGGGACATTGGGATGGTCTCTGGCATTGACCAAATGATTAAGATACATCTATTGCTATCATCACATGCACGCTGATGTGACTGACGAGTGATGCCTGTGATTGAGGACCTGCGTGAAACACTTCCCAGGTGACTCATGTCTAAAATAATGCAGAATCACTCTTCTGGCGTGTTGTGAACGAATTTGCATTTTCCACTCCAGCTCATTTGGAAATGAGATCCAGGTGCTTCCTTTGGAAGGACACACACACAGAGAAATTGGAAAAGAGCCTTATGATGATAATGTGCTTTCCTTCCCTTTTTGCCTTCAGCCTTCATTCATCACCACATGACTGGCTAACATCATTATTAATACCTTCTTATCATTTGACAACAAGCTTCTGGAAGAAAGTGCATGGTGTCAGCTTGCTTAAAAAATAACATTGCTTTGCTTGTTCTACTACTCTACATTAGGGGAGAATTTCGATCGCCAGGCCAGCCTTCGGCGGTCTCTAATTTACACAGACACTCTGGTAAGACGACCGAAGAAAGTCAAAAGGAGAAAGACTATTACAGGAATCCCTGACAACATACAGAAGGAGCTAGGTATGGCTCATCAGAACTGTATTTTGTTGCCCCTCATTTGCTGCTCAGCATTCCTATGCTAACCTCATCTGTGGTGCTTATGAAATCAATACATTCTGATAGCCATTTGGTGCCCCAAAGGGCCAGCTTCTTTCCCAAATGAGGCACTGGGTACAAATCTTAACACCCTATGCAGGTGATGTATTGAATTTTGGTGACAAGGTAAGACGAGAAGCTTATATGAAAACTGTTCACTGGGATGGTAGAAATTCATAATTATGTCATCATCTCTGTGCACCTTAAACAGTGGGGAACTGCCACAATGAAATTTACTTTCCATATTTAGATTTTAAAGTTTTCATAAAATTGAAAACTCATTCTAGAACTTAAAGTTACGGATGTGGACTTCATTAGTTATACTGACAGTATCAGAGGCATTGTCATCAAAAAGACAGCAGTGTGGGATCATTAATAACTACTAGTATGATGGAAAATAGTCATTTAGGTTGGATAATGCGTTTCTGTACTTCCAGTGAACCTGTGATTAAAATTGAAAAAAACTAGCTAGTGGGGAGGTTGTTTACTTCATTATTAACTCACCCATTTGTTTCTACTTATCTGTTATATACATACACTATGGATAATCTCTTCATTCTCCTCTTTCTACCTTTGCTTTTTCTCTGGTTTTTAACGGGCCCATCAGGAACGTCTGAAATGGCAGCCAAGCAGTCCGGGTCAGCACAGGGACTCTGGGGCCAGGCTGCTTGGCTTTGGATCCTACCTCTGCCACTAATACTCTGGGTGACCTCCGGCTGGTTCCTTCACCTCTCTGAGTACTTTCTCATTCAAGAGAGGGTTGGTTGGATTTAATAAATTAATATAAGTGAAGCCCTCGGTATCTGGTACTACTCAGCATAAGAGCTGCTGTTATAGTGACAATAGGGAACTTGATACTACCTTTCTAGAAGTGTGCCTTTCTCTTCAGCCAACCTCTGGACTTATTTCATTATAAATACTTTCTCACCTGATGTTTTTACTTTTACTACTATTAAAGGTTTTACTCTAGAAACTCAGAATTCTTACTACTGAGCTTGCCTTTGGTTACAATGAATGTATCCTAGCCATAGTGGTATGCCTATTCTAGCACTTTGAGGTAGCATTTCAGCTTCCAGGTGCTGTAGACACTGTTCCTATGTATGTCTTCCCAGCACCCTTGCCCGTTCTTCTTTTCCTGGTGTTTCCTCTTGGACTGCCATTCAGTTCCCAGTATTGGGCTCTGCCTTGTGGACTGCAGCGAGACAAGAATAGCAGCGCTTTGCTCCTGCACTTATAGCTCCAGTGACCCAGGTGACTCCAGGTGCTTATTCCATACCTGGGGGTTAGAACAAAGGCAAGACGACACCCCCAGGATTGTGAGGTCTGTCTGTGGTTCACGCCCCCACATGCTGCTCTTTTTTTTTTTTTTTTTTTTTTTTTTTTTTTTTTTTTTTTTTTTTTTTTTTTTTTTTTTTTGTGGCCAGTCCTTCTGTATTGTTCTTTCAAACTTTTTTTTTCTTTTAGATGACAGCTAATTAATTTGAGAAATGAATATGTACATGTATGTTCAGTAAGTGCTTAATGAGTGAATCTCTTACAGGACTCAGATAACATTTGTATTGAAATGATGTTTAAGAGATGTGTCTTAACCAAAAAGAGCAACTTTAAAGATAGGCCCTTTGTAATATAACAAGGCTGATATTTCAAATGTAGGCTACATTTTAATCGGCTTTCCAACCAAAATGGCTAGGTTTTGGATGGCTTTGTGCAAAGGGTGTAACAATAGTTTGGCCCAGATAAAATGCTCAAGCACATTAAGTATTCAGTGTGAATTATCCATTATATGCATGTAACAGGAATTCTAGACCTCAGAATTATGAACGTTTATCTTTTTTTTTTTTACTGAGCCAACCAGTATGGGCCAATCACTCACTTGCCTCTTTGACCTCACTGGAATGATTTGGCCAGCTTGGTAACTCATATCTTCTGTCGTTGTAATATTTGTTAAATGAATGTTTGAGCCCCTGGAGCTCATGCTTATTTCTCCTTTGCATGTGACATGAAACCACTAAGAATGTAGGGGGAAAAAATAGCTTTCCCCATATCATCAATGTTATGATTGTTGCCAGATGTGCAACAGTTGATGTCATTGCATAGTCAATGACATGACCTGGATCATAGCTGGAGATCAACTGAGACAGCTATATCTAAGTTAGAACTAGTTAAAAAAAAATTAGACAATGACTCTCAATTTTTGTTTTTATCCTCACTCGAGGATATTTTTTTCCATTAATTTTTAGAGTGAGAGAGAGAGTAGGAGAGAGAAATATTGATGTGAGAAAGACACATAGGTTGGTTGCCTCCCACACTTGCCCTGATTAAACTTTCATCCCTTGTATGTGCCTCTGCTTGGGAATCGAACCCACAACCCTTTGGTGCATGGCCAGTACTCTAACCACTGTGCCCACTGGCCAGGGCACAATGACTAGTTTTATAGGTAGACTAGTTGGAAGGAATGGTAGATAGACTAAGGGGAAAATGACATTTGAATACAGTGACATTTAGGGGGAAAATTGAATCATACTTTTTTCTTTCTTCATTTTAGGAATTGTCTAGATGTCCTATCCTCTATACACTACCCAGGTTGCCAGGGCTTTGGATTTTTTAAAAATTTAACCAGAGGTGTGTCCAGAATTAGAGTTATAATTATATTATGCTTAATTATATGCAGCTTTTACTTCAAAATCTGTCAATGGTGGACTCTAGAGATTAGCTAATACAACACTTTAAAATCAGGGTTGTGATATTTTCTGTTTACTTCCAAAGTATATTTGATGACTTATTATTTGTTACCTTCATTTAAATGAATTGGACAAAATTTTAGTTTTTTTCTTTAATCTTATCATAAACCTACAATGAAGTATATTTGAACACCCTATTGTGAGGTTTCTTTTCTTTTTTAGACTCAGATAGGGTTAACTTGTTGATGATAATTATATTTGGCTATTTTCTGAAATTTATCCCAATATGTATTTCCCAAGCAGAAAAAGCCTCATTTAAAGTAATCTTCTTCTGAATAATGTCTGATAGTTTATATTAAAAACATCACTAAAGACCTGCCAAAACTTTTTCAGATTTTCAATTATACTTGACATGCAATAATATATTAGTTACAAGTGCTGATAAGACTTTTTAAAAATCCTACGTAAACCTTAAATCAACTAACTCATAGATTTCTGTCTTTGATTACATGTGTTCTTTAAAAATTGAGAATCCCTTACAATATTATATAAGTAAAAGAAAATATACGTAATTATTTCTTTACATTATGTTTTTAAATCAGATAAATTCCATCAGTATTTTTAGCAGCATCTAATTGTATATACTTGTTTGTAGTTCTCTTTTTGTAGTCTGGTTTTGTTCTTTCATTCTAACCAATGTAGCATCTGAATCTGTAATATTGTGACACTTTTTGTAGTGTGAAAATATTGGAGGACCTGGTTTTGGAATAGAATTTTGGTGGTCCCTCTCTTAAATGGTATATGAGTTTTTCCACTTTTAAAGGTCTTTAGAAAAACAGTGTTATTTTCATAAGAAAATTGTACTTGGGTGAAGAAGAGGCTATATGCTCAATTTCTGAAGCCTAGAGGGTTTCACGTTCAGAATTATAACCTGAAAGAAGCAGGACATGATGGCCCATAGAGACAGTTAAAAATCTACCATGGACCCCATTCAAAAATTACTACAATTTCGGGCGGGGCAGGGGGGGGGCAGAAAGAGATATTAAATCCCATCATTGAGTAGAATAGGTATCTTGAATGTTTGGAGTCAAACTGCTACAAACTGATAGTGCCATACAGGTCAGGCTCCCACCTTCCATACTTGTTCCAAATGGCAAAACGTGTCCCTTTTGTTTCTTTTTCTGCAAAGTGGGTTTTTCTTACGTTCCTGCCCTCTCGCTTGCTTCTGCTCTTTCATATGCATATGTGTGAGTGTGCGTGCGTGAGTCTGTGTGTATCTTTAGTGAGTGGGTACTTGGCAGAGGGGAAGGAGAGGGAAATGGATCCTGTTGGGGAGAGATATGCGTACAAAAGTGATTCTCCATCAGCACAGGGAAGGGAAGGGCTTGGTGCTGGGTGCCTGCCTCCGCAGGGCGACATCTCCTTGCGGTTTGCACGGGGAACATTGCTGCCATGTGCTTGCCGAGCAGACAGTAGTGCTGGTGGGTGCCTAGCCAGCCTCACTCGGCAGGCTCCTGCTTCAGCCATTTTTGGGCCTTTGTTGGGAGAGAACAGTGTAGAGAGAACTGTGGTTTTGCTACTGATTTTTAAGACTTAATTTGTCCTAATGACTACTCTGCATGAATTGATTTTTCTTCTCTACATTTTGCCTTCATGATTCTTTTTTTAAAGCTACTGTTCTTTCCTAGGTACTTGAAATCTAGCTGTTGTCTACATTGAAGGTGTTTTCTCCTCCACTTCCCTCTCTGCTTGGCCTTCCTTGTGCTCTTTTATTTCTTTTTCTTTTTGAAAAGCTCCAAGAAATGAATAACGCTAATTTGAGGAAATGCTCGCTGGATCAGTTCCCGCTGCTTTTTCCCTACCAGAACACAACAGATTGCTGTTGAATTTTGAATGTCACTGACAGTCAGATGATGATGGCTTGAGATGGATAATAGTAATGTTTGAAACACAGATGGGCCTATAAATCATTTTTTTTCTTTTTCTTAGGATTTTCTTCTGCCGTAGAAATTAATGTAATTAACACTGTTTTATACCCATATCCTTCACAAACGGTGTCTCGTTGGAGCCCTGTTGTTGAACTGCTGCATTCATCTGTCTTTGGAAAAGACAGTCCCTGCGTGTCAGAGAGATGCTCTGGGCAGGCGCCTCCTGGGTGACTGGCTGCTTGGAAATCTTTGCAAAACCAGAAGGAAGGTTACTTGGAGAGTAAACCTTCCACAGAGCTCTCAGCCTTGATCTCAGTGAGGAGTACCTAAGAATTCCTTATGCAGCACCTAATCAATAGGAGGGTTTGAGGTACAAATGAAGCGCATGAAGTTCATAATAAGGGTTTTTATTTTAGGAGCTATTTGGTAACTCTTTAAACTCTCAGGTGCCTAGGGGAGGAAAGAAACGAAATGAAATTGAGAGAGAGAGAGAGAGAGAGAGAGAGAGATTTTTAAGTACAGCAGGGCCAGAAGGAGGTGAGGGTTCAGGTGATGAGCTACGAGACTGAGTTTTAGGTAACAGGCGAGACTGACTGAGTTTTAGGTAACAGGCCTCCTTCTGCTTTATCTCCAGCCTCCGGCAGCGGCCAGGATGGTGCTGGCAGCCCCTCGGCCTATGCCCCCGACCACTGCTCCACGCTGGGGAGGCACGGCGGCTGCCGGCCCGTGGGGCCCCGCTCGGAGACCAGGGACTCCAGCTGCCAGACGGAGGAGGTGAAGGTCGTGCCGCCTTCCATGCGGAGAATCCGGGCCCAGAAGGGGCTGGGCATCGCCGCCCAGATGAGCCACCTGTCGGGCTCCTCGGGGAACATGTCTGTGCTGAGCGACTCTGCGGGCGTCGTGTTCCCCTCGCGCCTCTACACGGACGCGGGTTTCCACAGTCTGCCCCGCTCCGCGGCCAGGGCCAGCCTGCAGGGCCCCGCACAAGACCTGGACGGCGCGTTGGAAAACTTAGGGCAGTTAGGAGGCGCCTCGAGGTCTGGGACGCTCTGCAGGCCCAAGTCCCAGGAGCTGAGGCGCGTGGAGGGTGAAAACAGGGCAGGCCCCGCGTGCGTGGTGTCCCCCCACGGGACCTACAGCACCAGCGTCATCCCCAACGCCACCCTCTCCTCCTCCTCGGAGGTCATTGCCATTCAGACCGCTCAGGGCTTGGGGCAGCCGGACGGCAAGAGGACCGGCCTCGCGCCCCACGCGAAGGGGAAGTCCAGAGACCCCCCGCTGTCCAGGCACGCCGGCGAAGGCGATCGCCGGTCCCCCGGGGGTCCCTGGAGCGAGGGTCCCTCCTCCATCCTCTCGCAGGCCTTCGACCCCCACCTCCCCAGGGCAGCCGCCCTCCTGGCCCTCTGCGACTCGGCGGGCTCCCTCCGCACCCCGGCGGCGAACCAGGAGAACGGGTCCCACGCCATGGCCTACGCCTGTCGGAGGAACCCGCACTTCCCAGCCCACCCCCAGGATGCGGACGTCAAGAGCGAGCCTGGTTACCCCGGAGGCAGGGAGCCCTCGGACTGCAGCAGCGCCTCGGGGAGCGGGCGGGCGTCCCCCCTGAAGCCTCCGCCGGGGACCCCTGGCTGCTCCACTCCCGGGAGTAACCTGAGCAGCTGCAGCTTGGACCATGCGTCCCACAGAGAGGGCGCCAGGTCCCTGTATGCAGAGGACCACGACGGCTACTATGCATCTCTGCACCCGGATGCTGGGCATGGGCCTGGCCATCCGTGCAGCAGCAGCAGCAGCAACGGCTTCGGGCACCCCCGGCACAGCGTGATCAACGTTTTCGACGGCAGGGCTCCGAAGAACCCAGGGGACAGGTCCCATTCTCGAAACATCTCCTTGAAGAAGGCCAAGAAGCCGCCTCTGCCCCCGTCCCGCACGGACTCCCTGCGCAGGGTCCCCAAGAAGAACAGCAACGCCCCAGCGGCGGCAGCAGCCAACGGGCAGGTGCTCAACGAGAGCCTGATCGCCTCCCTGCAGCACTCGCTGCAGCTGAGCCTGCGGGCCCAGGGCGGCCTGTCGCCCTCGCAGAGCCCCTGCAGCGACCTGGAGGAGCCGTGGCTGCCGCGCTCCCGCAGCCAGAGCACCGTGAGCGGCGGCAGCAGCCTGGCCTCGGCCGCCACCGCGCCCCACGGCGGCGGCTGCGCGCCCGGCGGGCTCACCCCGACCCAGAGCGACACGAGCAGCGTCAAGTCCGAGTACACGGACCCCTGGGGCTACTACATCGACTACACGGGCCTGCAGGACGACCCTGCCAACCCCGGCGGCGGTGCAGCCGGCAGTGGGGCGCCAGCGGGGAACGGGCCGGGGCCTCACGTCCAGGAGGGGTGCAGGGCCGCGGCCCCCCACCTGCCCGGAGGCTCCGTCAAACCAAAGGTCACGTCCCCCGAGAAGCCCCACCGGGTCACCTCTCCATCCAGCGGCTACTCCAGCCAGTCCAACACGCCCACCGCGCTCACGCCCGTGCCCGTGTTTCTGAAGCCCATGTCGCCCGCCAACGGGAAGGGGAAGCCCAAGCCCAAGGTCCCGGAGAGGAAGTCCTCCCTGGTGTCTTCGGTCTCCATCTCCTCGTCGTCCACGTCCCTCTCCTCCAACACGTCCACGGAGGGCGGCGGCACGGTGAGGAGGCTGGACTCGGCCCCGGCCGCCCTCCTGGCCGGCCCCTCTCTCCCCTCGCCTTCGTCTCCGTGTGCTGCGGACAAGTCTCCTTTCCTCCCTCCTCCCCCGCCCCTAGCCGATTCCCCTGAGGGCCCCCCTCTGCCTCGGTCTCCCCTGTTCCCCCCTCCACCCCCAGAGGTTCTCTCTCCCTTTGGTTCTCCTCCTGATTCCTGCTTTCCTCCTCCCCCCACCGCCCGGAGCCCGCTTCTGGACGCGCCTGCCCCGGTGCTGCCCCCTCCGCCCTCTTTGCCCTCCTCCGTCCCTCCTCCTGCCCCACCACTGGACCCCAAACTGATGAAAGAGGCCAGGCCGTCCTCCTTCAAAAAGTCTAGCCAGCCAGTGTCCCCCCAGGAGGCCTCCAGACCACCGGGGAGCAAGGAGGAGGGTGGCAGGCCGCCCCTGCCCCTGATCACCACCGAGGCCCTGCAGACGGTGCAGCTGAGGCCCGTGAGAAAGAGCCCGGGATCCCCCGGAGCACCGCTATCCGAACTAGCATCTCAGGAAAGACGAACCCCGCCTGTGCCCCAGTATCATCTGAAGCCATCTGCCTTCCTGAAATCCCGAAATAGCATAAATGAAATGGAGAGTGAAAGCCAGCCTGCCTCCGTGACAAGCTCTCTCCCGACTCCTGCCAAGAGCGTGAGTCAGGGTCACCAGGACGGTGCAGCCGAGCGCGGCCGCCCGAGCCGCAGCCCGGGCAGTGCCGCGGAGGCAGAGGCCGGGCCGGGCCCCGCCGCTGCCCCGCTCCAGAGGGCCCCCGGCCCTTCTCCCAGCAAAAAGCCGCCTCCCCCCATCTCCAAGAAGCCCAAACTGTTCCTGGTGGTGCCGCCTCCGCAGAGAGATCTCACCGTGGAGCCAGCGGAGAACGTGCGTGGAGCGGTGCCCAGCCCCACGAGGGGAGAGGCCAGCGAGAGCGGTGCAGCCCAGGCTGGTTCTGATGAGACCGACTCGTCCAGCAGCCCGGTGCTTGAGGGAGGAGCTGCAGGATCCACGTCCCCCGGCAGAAGGGAAGCCGATGTGCCCATGGTGCAGCCCAGCGCCTCGCCAGCCCCGGAGCAGGAGGAGCCAGGCGCCGAGAACAGCGCAGACCGCGGGGGCCACGCGGAGGAGAGCTGCCCAGCTCTGCAGGACCCAGGGCGTGAGTCTGGTTTTCTCTCTTGTTCCTCTCCCACCATGTGCAGCCGAGGCAGACAGGGCTGGGGCAGGTGCACGTTAGAGCCAGCAGTCTGGGTTTAGCTTGGCATTTTGTGAAATTTAAAAAAATCTAGTTCTAAGGGTAGAGCTTACAGAAGGACAGAGATAGAGGAGTGGAGGGGTGGGATTGGGGAGGGGGGGTCTGCAGCAGGCTGAGTGTTAAATAGCACTAAGTCCTCTCCCTTCCGGAGAGCCACAAAGTCATGTTACAACACAATTTAAGGGCTTCCTTCTGAGTTTCAGACTTGAGCACAAAAGAAAGAGCTTTGGCTAGCATGCTCCCCATCCTTATAAAATATCAGGCTACAGACCCCATGGCGTGTCCCTGCGGTTCTCACGTTGTCAGGAATGATGACAGGGAAGCATACTGGGAGCTTGGCTCGGGACTGAAATTCAAGTCGTTTGTGAATCTTGTGTTTGCTTGCTTGCCTCTCCACAGCCCGGGTGCCGGAGACCGAGGCGGCTGGCTCTTCCCCAGAGGTCTTTGACTTCCTTAAGGAGGAAGGGAGCGATGAGGTGATGACCCCCAGCAGACCCCGGACCACAGAAGACCTCTTTGCGGCTATTCACAGGTACCCCGAACTCCTCACACTGCCTTTTCCTTTTTGAGTCCCCCTCTTCCAAAGGGCTCATCGATTTATATTTCTTTCTTGAGGTTTCTTCTTGTCTCCCAGTTAGGTCTCCTTAACTGGATTGTTGACTTATTTTCATGTGTTTCTCCGTTTTTGTTTCTGTGTTGTTGTGTTCCACTAATTTTTATGATGACACGGGGATCAGAGGCTCAGTGTGATGCCGCTGCTCAGCTCTGCTCTTGCTGGCCAGGAACACAGTGTGTCAGTCATCTGACAGGGTGTTTCAGAGTGGGATGAGAGCAGCCCTGGTCCAGTCCCGGGAGGAAGGCTTGTTCTGTGGACGTAAGATGCACAGACTAGCGCTCTAGGACAGGAATTTTCCTAATGGTGCAGCATTGTTGTTGTTTATGTCACAGAAAAGCCAGGATTTTTTAGTGCAATTCCTTTGGCTGCTTACACGTTTCAGTTAAAGAGTACATCTTTTTTTTAAGCAGGAGCAAAAGGAATTAAATCTACTTGTTTTACGATATGCTGCTAGTGCCACCTACTGGCATCAAAGATTATTGGGTTTGAAAACATAAAGAACAACTTTTTAAAAGAACTGCCTGTACTACTTCTACTTTTTACATGTGGTCAACTTGAGTGAATAGGACTTAACACTAAAGTTTTATTTGTTGCCTATTTTTTTTTTGGTTGTAAACCGCCAAGTACTCTCACAACATTGTAAAACTATAAAAATTATATATGTGCAAGTACTTTCTGTATAAAACAGTTGCTTCTTCACCACAGTATTTTCAGTTCATTCGTACACACGCCCTTATGCTTCCAAAGTCTTGTATTGCCCTGAATCAAGTCTCTTTTTTTCCCTCCAGAAACAGAAAATCCTGATTGTGTGGCTCACCTTGTGTAGGACCATTTTCCCAATTCTTGGAATAGGATAAAAACGATTGCATGTGATGAACAGCATAGTGCTGTCCCTACCTGAAATTCCTCATGCAACACATAAACACCTAATTTGGGAGGGGGAAAAAACAAGCTGGCGAATTAAGGTGTTGGTGAAGAATTATATTTTTTTACCTCCTGGCCCTAATGATGGTATAATGTCCCAAAAGACGCCACAGACTGTTCCTTTAACATTGGCTGGCTGTTCAATTTGATATCATTAGGAATAAAAAGGTAGCTCATTTACCAATTTATTTCTTGAACCAGGGAAACAAACAACGATGCAGTCTGAAATCAACTTTAATGGCATGTGTAGCGGCTTACACAGATGTTTCTAAGTCTAACCATGCGAGATACAGACGAAGCACTCAATAAATATTTTCTGAATTAAATGAAACCAATTGGTAGTTAACTGTTTGGAAGTTGTTCCAGGACTCCACGGCTTTCATGTGGTATGGAATGCACCGGGTTGCTCAGTGTGCAGGCGAATGTATTTATAATGGCAGTCCGCAGGGAAGTGTTGCCTGGCCGCTCTGTGTACTAAATACTTGGTCTCAGTGAGAACCCAACTGTTGTGGGCCCAAATTACAGCATGCTTTTCCTAAAAATATGCCAGAGATCTTCCCTATATTTTATTTTAGCAACCTTCTTGAGGCCCTGAAAAATTTGAGGTTTCTTCTACTAGAGGATTATATCTAAAGCGTAATCATAATTATGTCGACAGCAGATGTGGGACTTGGCCTGTCTGAATTAGCCTGTGTGCACATGGTAGCCCTCAAGTCCACGCAGGATGGGATTGCAAAGAGGGAGCAAGGACACGTGCCGGTTTTCATGGTAGCACAGACAGTACATTAGCGAACATAATCCAAATCCACCTAAAGTTCGTGGTTTTTAGGGCTTTATTTTATATCCCCTTCAGTACCCAAGCTAATAGTTCAAAGTAAGAATATCTAAATTGAAACACAGCTTTCAAGTTTTAGAATGCAAATAAATTCACTTCAGATTGGAAGCCAGATGGAACATGTAGCACACCAGTCGAGGTGTGAAATTTTTATATTCATTGAAGTAATTAGTTTTCAAGCCGGAGTTAACTGTTTAAGCGCCTTTTACAGCCACCTTCTTTTAAAATACGCACACAACATAAAAGCAGAGCATTCAGATGTTTAGACTTAATTCTCACTTTAGAGGGCAGCTGTTTAAAAACACTACTTTTTATAAATTTCCATTCCTTCCCTTAATTCTGAATCTGCAGTGAAAGGCCATAGCTTTCATCAAGGATGGCTGTAGGTTGTTGTGTGGCACTTGGCACATTCTCTTCGTTGAAAAAACCAAATAAAAAACAATAAGACAGACCAGTACCTGCAAAAATGGGTCTAAAGAGTGAAGCTCTGTGACTTCACTCTTTAGACCTCAGGTACCTTCTCTGGTCAGACCAAACCACCTGAAGTCTTTTCCAGCTCTGCAATTCTGAGATGTTAGTATTTCTGTGGTTTCTGTCAGTCCCTCGTTAACTTACTCTAGAACTGTGGTTGACAAACTTCGGCTTTCGAGCCACATGCGGCTCTCTGGCCCCTTGAGTGTGGCTCTTCCACAAAATACCACGGCCTGGGCGAGTCTGTTTTGAAGAAGTGGCGTTAGAAGAAATTTAAGTTTAAAAATTTGACTCTCAAAAGAAATTTCGATCGTTGTACTGTTGATATTTGGCTCTGTTGACTAATGAGTTTGCTGACCACTGCTCTAGAGCATTGCTTTTATTGACATCTGAGCAGGACCATTGAACCTAGCTATCATAGGCAGGCTCTGCATTCCCAAAGGGGCTGGTGCCACATCAGATCTGGCCACCTTTCAGCCTCCAAATTGGGAATTGGGTCCTTACTACTTCCTGTTTTCCACTTTGGTGGCTCCTTTTTGTCCAGAAGCATGGAGAGGACCCTGGGAGCATCAAACCCAGGATGGCCCTCATGGCCCACCCTCCTCCATGCCTTGCTGTGCAGGTCACAGGCCGTAACCTGAAGCCTGACCTAGAGGCAGGAAGGGAAATTATATTTTTCTAAGAGACACTCTAATGTTTATTAAGCACATTCTCTGTGCCTGACATTTTGTGGCTGGCGTTGCATCCATCTGGATCGATAAATTATGTGCTATCTGCTGTTATTCCCCTTTCCCATATATTATAGGAAACAGGATCAGAAACTTTAAGCTGCCCAAGGTAATGAACAAGGTCGCTTTAAGCAACGGGAGTGAACCCAGGTCCATGTGACTCCACGGATCTTTATCACATTGAATCCTCACAAACCTGTGAGGCTGATACCGTCATCCCCCTTTGATAAGTATGAACGCCGAGGTGCAGCATAGATGAGTAATGGTCCAAGGTCACACAGCTAGAAGTTGGTAGCGCTCATGTTCAACCCTTGATCTGTGTGTACAGGTAGCACACCCTCCCAACCTTTCCCTGCTGCGCATTCTAGAATTTTATAGCCGAAAAGGAAATATCCCCACATCTTTACTCATCAGATGTACCATGTGTCCTTAAAGCAAGTCCACCTGTGCTTGGCTAAAGGATTCCTGGTGCCCCGAGCTGTTGTTATGAAAAGACCAGCAAGGGGCCACTTGCTCGTCTGCTGTATTATCTCTGACTCACTCTTAGCAGAAAGCACATGGAACAGGGAGGTTCTTAGTGACTGAGGTATGAAACATTTTACTTTTCCCCTCTCATGATTTTCTGGATCATCTAGAAGTTCACTGACATGAGTCACAAAACAGGATGTGGTGTGGGCGGTTCGCTTTTGTTTTCTGGACCATTGGACTTCTAGGAGTTGACAAATGGCCGGGTAAGAGCCAAGGAAGACAGGTTTTATGTCAAATTCTTGTAGGATTGTTCTAGAACCTGGGTGGGGGCCCTTCTCGTTAGAGGTTAGGGTATTCTGGGAATTGGCTTATCTGTTAGGCCTTTTCATTGCCAGCACCATGAAATCCAATCAGGATTTCTCAGGGAGCGGGCCTAAGCCATCAAGTAGGACATCCCTGAAAGCTCCCGGACTGTGAGAGGGGGCAGGCCAGGCTGAGGGATATCCCTCTCCACACACACACACACACACACACACCCCGCACAAATTTTCATGCACTGGGCCTCTAGTAAGTTAGTAAGTATAGCTGGGTCATGGGCACACATGGCAAATACAATGAACTATTCTTGTACATGCATGGGTGTTGGAGGATTACATAAATGGTGACCTGAATGTGCAGTAAGATAAGCAGGGTGGCTGTGGCTGACATCCAGTGGCCCATTTGGAATTAGCCTTTATCTTAATGTTTTTAAATCTCAGATCCAAGAGGAAAGTCCTTGGCCGTAAAGACTCTGAGGACGATCACGCCAGGAACCACTCTCCCTCCCCGCCAGTGACTCCCACCGGCGCCGCCCCCAGCCTGGCCTCCCCAAAGCAGGTGGGATCGATTCAGAGGAGCGTCCGCAAGAGCAGCACCAGCAGCGACAACTTCAAGGCTCTGCTGCTGAAAAAGGGGAGCCGGTCAGACACCAGCGCCCGCATGTCCGCGGCCGAGATGCTCAAGAACACAGACCCTAGGTTCCAGAGGTCGAGGTCGGAGCCTGCGCCCGACGCTCCCGACAGCCCGTCCAGCTGCTCCCCGAACAAGAGCCGAAGGGCCCAGGAGGAGTGGGCCAGGAACGAAGGCTTGATGCCTCGGAGTCTGTCCTTTTCCGGCCCTCGGTACGGCCGCAGTCGAACCCCGCCTTCCGCGGCCAGCAGCCGGTACAGCCTGCGGAACCGCATCCAGAGCAGCCCCATGACCGTCATCTCCGAAGGGGAAGGGGAGGCCACGGAGCCTGCGGACACCAGGGCTCGCCGTGTCCTGGGCGCTGCCAGGGGCTGTTCCCTGGACGGACTGGTGGGGGATGACATGGTTGGGGGCAGCCTGCAATGTGGCCCTGCAGACGGGACAGCCAGTGCCCAGGGCAGGGGCCCATTGGAACAGTGCAGGGGTCCCCTGAGGGAAGCGAGTTAGAGGCAAGAATGGGATCTCCCAGGTGACAACCCACCGCTCTAGGAAGCCCGAGGAACCCTCCACTGTCTGCCCACCTGTGTGCCTGCCGTGGACCTGGGTGCTGCCAAGCCTGCAGTGGGTGAGGGTCCCTGAGGACTCACTTGGCACTTGCCCTGTGGCTTAAAAGCAAGTAGAAGCTTAACTTCTGAAAGTGCTTCCTGGGGAAGATTTTTTTTTTTCTTTTTCTAAATGTTGGGTGTGTGTGAACAGGTGTGTATGTGTGCATTTTGAACACTTTTTATGTTTAAAAAAATAGACACACAAACAACATGTACAGATATAGGAGGGGAAAAGACACAAAGTAATGGAGGTTTCTGGACTAGGTGGTGATGCTTTGAAAGTGTGTTGTGGAAATGAGTGGGTTCTGGAAGGGAGAGGACCGCTCTTGGAGAACGAGGTGGTAGATTTGCTGGTTCTGAGCGCACAGAACACCTGGGTATATGCACAGGTATGCTTTCATGGTGAACCTGAAAGGTAGGGAAAGGGCTAAGTGACTAATTGGTTCAGGTACTTTTTTCTGGGGGAAAAAAGGCTTTTGTTTCTTTTTTTGTAAAAATGACAAACATGTGGAAGTGGAAACGCTGTGGTCAGAGCCTGCTGCCGTGCAGCCACAGACACAACTCTCAGCCCGATGTTTAGAAACATGGGTGATTTTTAAATGAATTTCCTCCTTTCTAGCGAGGACCTTCGAGAACTGAAATGAGGGTGTGCACATGCAGAGAGGGTGAGAGAAGGCAGAGGAGCGAGTGATACACTGCAGCAATTTGTTTTCTGCTAATGAAATAAACTTATTTTTCAGAATGAAATTTGAAAACTTGCACTACAGAACTGTGGGTGGAGCTTTTCCTTGTACAACTGTTTTTTACCAGAGTTTAAACTTACGTTTGGCAATTTCTTACCACTTGAAACGTCAACATTTGCTAACTTTTGGATATCCTTTTGGTTACACCAAAGAAAAAGTTATGGCTATTTTTCCTTGAACTGCCTGCAGTACCATATCCTCACTGAGAAAGGTTTATCGAAATCTATTATATATTATCTTACTTTGACAAAAATGCTGAATAGCTCTTGTTAGTCTAATAAACTGATAAAAATTGGTAGGGCTTGGCAATGAATTGGCCCTGGGAAATGAGTTTTTAGATTAAAAAGATTTTTTTTTGCATCACATGGTTTGTGTGTTTTTATATATTTTTTTAAATAAATAATTGAGTTAGGTAATTACCTCCCAATCTTCTTTAATTAGAATTTAACACTTTTAGACATGGGAAAACGCGTGTATTTATTTTTATGTCATGTTCTTGTGCCCCTCCCCCTCCATGCCCTTCCGACTGCCATGTACTTGATTTGTTGGTGAAATAAAATCGGTGTCTTGTCTTCTTCATTAGAGGGACCTAAGGTGGCAATGCTGAGATGCTTAGATTACATACAAGATAGCTGCCCAATGTCATCTTCCCTGATGTGAAAATATCATCTCAAAGTTGGACCACACAGGCCAGATCATCATAAGGATCAGATGCCTACTTTAGACACATCTAAAGAATTAAGGCTTCTCCCATTCTCTGAAAACAAAACAAAAAACAAAACAAAACAAAAAAACCAAACACTTCGTTTCACACAATAGAAATCAAGACCTGACATTTGGCCAAAAGCAAAGGACTTTTTACCTATTGGAGCAATTTTACTGGGAACAAGGACTTTTTTCTTCTTCTTAATTTTAGAAAAGTAGTGTTGGCTTTTGGATATGAAATCTCATAGATAGCTAGAAAAGATTAGAATGTACATGGCTATCAGAGAACTTGAACTTAATATACAAATCATAGATGTTGAGGGTGAGATAAGCAACATCAACACTAATTATAAAACTTATTTAAAAACCCCATTTTTAAAGGAAAATAAGGTTTTTAAATTTGCTTTGAATAAAACAATTGCAAAGGAAATATTTGAACATTATTTTCTTTTGTGAGTACATGGGTTTTTTAATAATGTGCAGAGCTGCTGAGTGCTTTGTTGGATGCAAACAGAAGAGGAGTGAAGACCAGATGGTGCCCGTGGGAGGTGGGACCCAACAGAGAAGAGTTAGAACATCCTAGACTCTGGATGGTGCCAACTCAGAGGACATCCGGGAAAATAATTCTCAACGATGCCCCAGGGACTTCTGAAGAAAATGTGAATAATGTATTGACTGGTAGTCCCTACGATGTGATGTGGAGAGGTGGATGACATACAGGGAAACAAGCATCTAGATTCCTTCCTGAACTGCTGGGCATCTTTAGTTTTACTGTTGTATTCCTTGGGGCCAGCCACAGTTAACAGAGCAGATCATACTTAAACACTGAATGAGGGTAGAGTTGACCCTTCCTTCTCCCCTGAAACCTTAAGTGCCAGATAGTCATGGACAGAAGCCCCAGGCCTAAATGATTTCCACTCTGGTTTTTCTAAAAGTTAGGAGAGAAACTAATACCTATTTGGATTGTCCGTTGGAAGCAGCCTCAACTTGGGCCTGATTTCTGCCCTCCTGTTCCTGAAGAATACGGATTGGAGCCATTGCTTCTCGTGTGTGGATGAGTCAATATGTTTGTGGAGGATCACAATGACAAGAAATGTGGTGTTTCTGTATCTCTTACTCCCCACCCACCACCACACCCAGCTCTGGTGGCCTCCTGGGAGGCCAGGTGAAGCTGGGGATTGGCTTTATTGGGTCTGAATATGTTTTCTGTCCATTAAGTGAATATGAATAATTGTATTGCTGCAGTTCTGTCATGAAATGAGCAAGTTGGATACTTTGGCAGCTATTAGGATATTGTTGGGGGTGGCGAGTTTTGGATAAAGCATGGACCTGATTTTTGAAGTCTCTTTTTCTGTAATAAGCTATTCAGTTACTGTAATCTAGTTTCTTTCAGTAAGTTGCTTTAAACTACCTTCCACACGGGCCCACCTTTATTTACAGAACAAAGACTAGAACAAATCTGTAGTTGTGTGTTCAGCAATGGAAAAAAAAAAAAAAAGCTCTTTATTAAATACATCTCATGTCCTAGATGAGGATGAGGAAGTTCTAAGATAGAAAAATTTGGATGAGAAAGCTGAAGGAACTTCAAACCTAGTAAAGAGAGGCATCAACAATGGACTACCCTGTAGAACAGATCAGCGAGGGAGGAGAGGAAAGGGAAGAACATTCAGGGCAAATCCAGCCAGGACCCCAGCCGGCACGCATTCTCTTCACCAACAGAACACATGGAATTGGCTCAGGCTGGCAGTGCGCCCACCTGGACCGCCAGACCCCTCGCCCCCACTGTTGTCTGGGAAGTTGCTTTCCTTATGCAGGTGCCATTCTTCTTGTGGCTTCCTTCCCCCTCTTCTCCCTAGAACGGTGGGAAGCTGAAGGAGGAACAGGGCTCTTGCAAACTCTGAAGCTCCAGTAAGGATGGAAGGCAGGGAGCCTGGCCCAGTGAGAACACCTCGGGCTGTCCATCTCCAGGCTCACCTGGAGAGTATTTTTCACTGACTTCGCAGGAGAGAGAGTTGGTTCTCAGAGGAAGATGCCACAGCTTCTGACTTAGGGGGGTGGGCAAGGCATTGGCTGTGGTGAACCTGAGGTAAGACTGCACAGATGAGGAGCTCACCAAGCATAGGGAGTTGGCAGAAGTCATGCCAGACTGAAGAAACAACCTGAGCAAGGACACAGAGCCAAAGTGTTTAGAGGAAGCCGTGTAGCTAAAAGAAGTCTCTAGTAAAACAGTGGGGTGTGATACTGGAATGGCCACCTGAAGTAAGAATGCAGAGGGCCTGGTATGTCATTTTAAAAAAAAAGAAGGATTTTGTTTTGTAGTTCCAGAGAATAACAAAGGTTTTTAAGAAGGGAATTATGTAACTTGGCTGGGTTCTTAGCCTTGTTTACAAGCTACACATTCCATTGGCGGGTTGTGGTCCATGAGAGTGATTAGAGTGTGTGGAGAGCGAGAGCCTGATGAGGAAAGGAAAGGGGCTAATGGATGGAGCACAAATTAGACCATCAGCAAAGATGCAAGGTTTAGCTTAAGAAAAGGTCTAGATATGAATTTTCTACAGGTACAAGAATAAAAATCTCAAAAGTTGACATAAGGGATACCAAATAATCATGCCACCTACATACATCATTACAATAACTGACTCACTGCCACGAAAATTACTCTCGGATTGATCAGAGCTGGAAAATGTTTTGGGTTATGCATTATAGGAGAGGAAGGGAAAATGGGAATAGTGGGATTTCAATAGTATGAAATTGCTTTTTTATTGAACACGTTTCAGATTCAAACAATATCTGAGTGACCAGAAATAAGCTTCTCTTATTTAAAGTGATATTTATTGCATAAGAGAAGCCTATTTTTATAGGACTGTAGGGGAAGTGTTGAAATAGTTACCTCTTACCATTAGGGGCTGGTATTGTGGATATTCATCAGGAGGGCTAGAGGGTAGTCTCTAGTTGGGGACGGTAAATGAGCTAAAAAAAATTTTGTGTCTTTTTGGCAAGCATAAACATGCAGAGAATCAATTGTCAGTGTAAGCAGATTGATTACCTTTGGAAAATAATTGCCTGGGATTTTAAAATTTATACCCATAATTCCAGAACCAGAAATCTAGCTTTCTATCAAAAATTAGTCTTAAAGGTATGTCTGAAGTTATCATTATGATATGCATGTGATTATGCATGTGATATGCAAGAACACCTCCAGATGGTCCTAGCCTACTCTTGACCACTACCTGCCAGTGGGCATAGTGGTTAACAGCATGGACCAAGGAGTCAGCTGCCTGGACTCCAATCGGCCTCTGTCCTTAGTTTCATCTGAGGCATGTGACCTAGCATCCATGCCTCAGTGTCCTCATCGGCAAAATAGAGATGATGCAATGTGGCACACAGCATTGGAATTGGTGACTCAGGTAAAGCACTTGGAATGATATACCTAGAAGAAAATCCAGAGCTAATTGTAGGTATGTTAGTTGGTTGTATCCAGATTAGGGAGATCAATTTTAAGAAATAGTATATAATGTTGGGGTTGAAAGGACCTTAAGCATCCTCTGGCCTCACCCTCCCATCCATTGGATACTCAGATCTCCTATGTAAATGATCATGTGTTTCCTCACTTAAACCATCCAGTGCTGGGAAATGGAACAAGTGTCATTCATGGGAAGCTCTAATTATTGAATGTTACTGAGGTCCAGCTTGCAATGATCATCCTCCAGGAGCCCACAGCAAAGCTAATGCCTTTCCCCCACAACAGGATTCTAGGCACCTGAATGTGACATCTTCCCAGGACAAGCAGTTTCCAACACAGGTAACAATGTTAACCTCCTTGATTTTGGGGCACCCCACTCTTATTAGTCATTATTCCATGACCTCCAGAAAGACGACATGAAATCACTTAAAAATTAAAGTGAATTTTAAAACTATATGTTTGTATACATTTGTTCAGGAAAAACATACCTTTACTGAATATCAAACTTGGATAGGAAGTCCCTAATCTTATAAATTTAATCTTTGCCACAAAATATTATCAAAACTTTTGGGTACTGTGTGAGTTTGGGCAGATGGGGAGGAGGAATCAACAGAAGGTAACAGCAGCTGCAAAGAGACAGTTTAATTCTTTGTGTCCAACCCTAACTTCACCTCTCTACGCTGAACAGTACAGTAGTGCCACACAAGGTAGAGCTTTAATATTTTTATTGCTATTATCTGGAGGGGATAACATCCGATTGACACAAATCCAGTAGAAAAAAGCAACATGATTATGATAGAGAAGAAGGGGAGGTAGCATGACATTTCCCTGGAGCCTCATGGAACTAAAGACCTCCAGGACAATGACAATTTCCATGTTCATAGATTGTTGTCCCCTATTATCTGTGTATCCTGATAAAGCTTCAAGCATTAAAAAGGCACATTGGAAATAGGCTCAAGTCATATGTGTACTCTCAAGGAGAAGGTACTAGACACACATTTTACTTCTAGATATGTTGATGTCTATATTAAAGTTCAGCCCCTGGCAATGCTATTTCTTTTCATTTTCTCACTCATTTTCTTTGGAGGGTTCGTTTTTCTGAATCAACCACACTTCATTATTCCTATTAAGCAAATCAAAAGGACTGTTGTAGCCTGCAGTGTAGTAAACCTTTTCGTCGAAAACTTTTCCTTCTTCCCTCAAAACGCTTGCTAATGTCAAAAGTTGTTCTTGATTCTTTTGGGCGCTTGAGAATCCATCGAAAGACCTACAAAGGAGAACGTAAATAACCATGAGTGGCTTTAGTACCCATGCCAGCAGTCTGAAAAGAAAAGCAGGAGCTGATACAATGAAGCTGGATAAAATCCAGCTTCAAAGCTCCATCTGCTCAGCCCCTGAGCCCAGCCATCCCTTCCTCTAGTTTCTGCTCTCAGTGTCATCTCCACACACTGAGAAGGAGAACCAGGAGGAGGGATCTGGGCCAGCAGCTGGCAGGTAGATCTGGAATTCACGCTTCCCTTCCTCTAACTCTGCTTCTCAAACTTTTATTAATGTTCACACAAATCTTGTGACATGTAGGTTCAGGAGGTCTGGGAGGGGTCTGAGAGTCTGTACGGTTTCTAACTAGCTCCCAATGCTGCTGCTGCTGCCGGCCAGAGGACCCCATGGAAAGCCACTCCGAAGCCTCTCTCCCAGACTTGCAATTTTCTCTAGAACATTTTGCCTTTCTCCCTCTCCTTTGGGCAAAGGACAGGCGCTAATTGATGGATGAATATAATGTAGTTTTGACCCTATTAACTTATAGTCTGAAGCAAGAGACAAACATTTTGGTAGCTCCCTCTCTATAGCTTGAGAAAAGATTTAACAGAGACAGGACCAAAGTGCTTAGGGACTCTGAGTACATGATTAAATCAAGATCAGGGCTGTGAACTGAGTTGGGTCTGGAAGGGTGGGTGTTTTGCTGGGCAGAGGAAGGGGAGGGATACGAAAAAGAACAGAAGTCCCAAACTGCAAAGTGTTTTCATAGCGAGGCACAGCATGTGGGCTCAGGAAGAAAGAACTTTGTATATCGTCATCCTAAGACCTTTGGAAATTATTCTTAAAAGGATGTTGAGCAGAAAAGTAACTTGGTCAGATCTGAGTGGATACATTGGGAGGTTTGGGATGGGAAAGAACAGACAGCCAAAATATCTAAATTAAAAAGAAAAGCAGGAGCTGGGAAAGTGAGAAAAAAGCTCTGGCGAGTGTGGCTCAGTTGGTTGGGTGCCATCCTGTGCCCTGAGAGGCGGCCTGTTCAATTCCAGGTCAGGGCACATGCATGGGGTTTTGGGCTCAATCCCCTGTAAGGGGATGGGTGTGTGTGTGTGTGTGTGTGTGTGTGTGTGTGTAGGAGGCAGCCAACCAATTGTTTCTCTCTCTCCATCTACCTCTCTCTTTCTCTAAAATCAATAAAAGCATATCTTTTAAACAGATTTTTTAAGTGGGGAAAAATAATAAAATTTAAAGCATAGATTTTAAAGTATAGAAGCAAAACTATCCTGAGATTAAATCATGACATGACACAGACTTAACTGAGTTGCTGGAAACATGATGCATTTGATTTTGAAGGTTAAGAATAGGAAACATGGGGAATATGTTCCTTATAGCCTTCTTTAGCATATGTTTTATCATCAGTGTGCCAAGGAAAGGATCAGTCCCACCCTTCTTCAGATAAGATGGAAGCTCTCAAGGGTACAAACCAAACCGTATCTATTTTACTCAATGTCAGGCACCTAGAATCGTTCCTGGCATGCAGTCTCCTTTAAATCTTATTGAATAAGCTGGGACCGGTTTGGCTCAGTGGATAGAGCATCGGCCTGCAGACCGGTCCCAGGTTCGATTCCAGGTAGCAGGCACATCCCCAGTAGGGGGTGTGCAAGAGGCAACTGATCGATGATTCTCTCTCATCGATGTTTCTAACTCTCTATCCCTCTCTCTTCCTCTCTGAAAAATCAATAAAGTTTAAATCTTATTGAATAAGTATTGGAATCTCTGTGCGCACCTGTATATAAAACACTGAAGATAAACTGATAAAACTGTTCTATAATTTTCAGCATGTTGACTGATAATTCTGAACCATGTGGCGAAGGTGGTGAGAGCAGTTCCATGGAGAGGGTGTGGGCTGCAGCAGACAGTGGTGGTTTGAGGTGTACGTGGGAGGTGAGAAAGCAGAGATACATATTCCTGTAACAGGTTGGTGGTAGAGAAAGGGACTCCAATATGAGATTATTATCATGTACTGTGATAAAATTTCAACAGAGAATTTAATATAAGACATGAGTGCCACAGGTATTAGAAGTCTGAAAAAGTAAAAGAGAACCCATGAACTAGCAGAGGGAATAACCTCAGGAGGCAGCAGCCATCCCTTGTGCTGGGGTAAAAAAGGAAAGAGTTTGGGGTTATCAGGACCTAGAAGTTGGGAGTTACAGTATTTTTGTTCAGGCTTACCTAGATGGCAGGTAAGCTTATGCTTTTTGGGGGTGCGGGAGATAATTTGCATTGTGTCCGATTTGTGGAAGGTATGCAACAGATTCTGCGTTAACTGAATTTTGATTAGATTTTGCAGCAGACCCTTGGTAACCTACTTAAAATAAGCCAGAGGGAAAACGCCATAAAAACGCATCAGCCTGTCCTTGTGGAAGGGTGAACAGCCTTCTGAAATTGCATCAGAGCTGAACAGAGGGCAGGACGGTGACACCAGCAGTCATCAGGGCTATAAATTACCTACCACTTACCGCACAAACACAGTCATAGCGGCTCTGTCTTCAATGAAGACATCCGACTCTGAGGGCCTGGGCGGATCGGGTTGCTGCTCGGAGGGGACGTACAGGGAAACGGTAATGGTAGACTCGCTGAAAGGCCCCGAGCCTGGCTCCACATAGCTCACCACGGGAGCTGTCATCTTCATTTTCATCTCTGTGCCGTAAAAATACATATTTAAACACAAAGGAGAGCGTGAAAGCAAATGTAAGGAATTTATCACTACTTTTTAAACGTCACCTATTGTTTTGGGATCCGGGTGTCTTGATTTATTTTATGCTATTGGCATAAGTACAGGGAGAGGCAAAAGCAGTGTTTCCGTCGCGAGTGTGCAAAACAGAGTTTATTCTCTCGTTATTTATTAATTATTGTACTATTTTCCATGCAAGCATCTGCCATCTTACTTTTGCCCCACCCTCTATTTGCCTTTAAGATAACTTCCACCGTTCAAAATTAAGACCAAAGTGACTCAGTTATCCACTGCCCACATTAAGCGATTTCTGTTCAATTAATATTTTTGGTTGCTACATTTTAAAGGTTTAGGGATAGCAGGGAAGATGAGAGATCACATCGTCCAGTCATTCTTTATTTTTACAATTCGGAAGCTGAAGCCCCATTGGCCAACAATCTCCTGGAACATAAACAGTCTCAGAGTCCGGAACCACAAGCTTAGGCTTGAGACTCTGGGTCTTGTGTTCCTCCCTCTGACCAGCCTCTTGATGTCTCTCACCCACCAGTCCAGCATCAGCCATAAAAAGGACCCAACACTAATGACAGAGGCCCGGCTCAGTCCAGGATGAGAGGCTGAAAAACAGTAAGTCTCTGTTGATCTGGTTATCTTTCTCTTCTAAATTGGATTGCCTTCATAAGCTCAAACTCAAGAATAGCCAGGAGACTCCACCACCATCTACAATTACCAGGAAGACTGCCCTCACCTTTCTCGTTTTTGCCTTGGACGTAGCTGGTCAACCTGGTGAAGCCCGTCTGGATGGCGGAATCCCAGTCCCTGGACTCCACGGAGGTGCAAACCCACTTGGCTGGTCCGTAGTGTCGGATCTCGTAACTTTCGGGCTAACAGGGAACAGAAAGCTTGGGGAAGCCATTCTAAAAAAGGCAGGACGCCGGGTGCAACAGTGCCGGGGCCTGGGTTTGGGTCCCGTTTAGGGGCTGCGTCCTCTTGGGTCGGGCCGCTGGGTGCGGCTCCTGAGGGCCGGGCAGCCCTCCCCCCCCTCCCGCTCCCACCCTGCGGTTCCGCGTTTTCTCAGCTCAGGCCCCGCCACCAGGCTGCGGGGAGGAGAAGGACGGGGGGCGGGAATGGGGATGGGGAGTCAGCCCATTTCGAGTTAAGAACAAGCATCCGTAAGGGCCCCTCGGCCCGGAGGGTCCCACCTGGGCTGTGGGACAAGGCTGATTCTCTACTCCTCCCCCACCCCCCATCCCCCGCAAAGCAAAGGAAGGGAGACGCGGCCGGTACCTGGGCTGTGGCTCCCGGCAGAGTTTTCCCGTTTGTTCAGGGACTCGGACGTTTTAAAACTGTCCTTTTTCCTTAAATATGTGGGACTCTCCGGCCTCACTATACAAATCTGCTCGAAAACGCCTCCCACCCCGGCCCCTAACCCGGCCTGCACCCTTCGCGCCGCGGGAGGCGCCTACCTGGGCGCCCGAGTCCTCGGGGACCTGCCAGCCCGGCGTCTCCACCGCCGGGGCCTCCGCGCCCTCGGCCGCCCCGGGCCCGGGCTCCTGCTCCTCGGCCATGGGCGGCGCCGACCGGGAAGGAGCCGGTGCGAGCGGCGGCCCCGAGTGCCCAGTCCCCGCCCCGCCGCCCGCCCCGCGGCCGCGCCTCCTCCCGCCCGCAGCGCGTCCCCGCCCTGCGGGGCCCTCCCGCAGGGGGAGGCTGGAGGCTGGCCTGCAGGGCCGCTGGGGTTCCGGCCCCCCCCCCCCGTGTTTTATTTATTTATTTATTTATTTATTTATTTATTTATTTATTTATTTATTTATTTATTTATTTGTCTGTCTGTCTGTCTGTCTGTCTGTCTAAATATATATCTATTTTATTGATGTTTTTACAGCGAGGAAGGGAGAGGGATAGAGAGTTAGGAACATCCATCAGCTGCCTCCTGCACACCCACTATTGGGGATGTGCCCGCAACCAAGGCACATGCCCTTGAGCGGAATCGAACCTGCGACCCATGAGTCTGCAGACTGACGCTCTATCCACGGAGCCAAACCGGTTCTGGCTCCCCAGTGTTTTTAAAGGACAGGCAGGCGGAGGTGTGCGCCATGGGAGCCAGAAGGGCTGGGTTTGGAGAAGGACCGGGCAGCGGGCTGGCGGGGTTTCCGGTGGAACCGGTTCGGGAATCTCTCCCAAGGCCTCGCCCGCACTGGGAGCGGGTTGCACAGACAGGTCTCCTCCTGGGAGGGCGTGAGCGAGAGCCTCACCCATGGGTGCAGCCAGGGAAAGGCAGGAGGGAGTCTCTGCTCCTGGTGGGAGGTGGGCGCGCACTGGCGACCCTGAACTCGGCTGTACTTGTTGGCACTCCGGTGGGCACAGAACTCCAAGCCAGGTTTGGCCCAGGGGCCCAGCCAAGGATGAGTGCCTCTCACCCAGAAGGTGGCCTGTGCCTGTCCCTGGGGGAAGTAGATGGACCACAGAGGGCTTGGAGGGAACCTTGAGTTGCCCTCTTTTATTGACCTCACCTCCCCAAGGACGCCCAAACCTCTGAGTCACCCCACCAAGTCTAACAGGCTGGGGCGAGAACAGTAGAAGAGGAAGGGAAGATGACTGAGGGGAGGAAGAGATAGGGTGGGGACATGGGCTAGACTCCAGTGTGTTTTAAGTCTCTTGGCTGTATTTATTCTTTTTTTTTTTCTAGGAGATTTATTGAGATGAAATTTCACATATCATTTAAAGTGCATTTAATGGTCTTTAGTATATCCACAATTGTGCAACAATAGCCACTATCCATTTTATTTATTTTTTATTTATTTAATGATTATGGTATCACATAATTGTCCTCATCTCCCCATTCCCATCCCAAACCCCTCCCCATGTATGCCCCCGCCCCGTTGTCCGTGACCACTGGTTAGGCTTATATATTAATACATGCATACATGCCCTTTGGTTGATCTCTGCCACAATATATTTTAGAACATTGTCATCAACCCCCTTCCCTAAGAAAAAACCCCTTACCTTTTAGCCCTCACTCCCCAACTCCCCACCCCCCAGCTCTAGGCAACTGATTGGCCCTCTGTCTCTGTAGGTTGGTCTGCTCTGGACATCGCCTATACAATAAATGCGGTCGTTATAATAGGTGAGCTTTTGTGACTGGCTTTTTTCACTTGCTGTAATGTTTTCAGTAGTCATCCATATTGTAGTGTTGTAGCCTGTATCAGTACATATTTCATTCCTTTTTATTCCTGAATAGTATTCTTTTGTATGGTCCTAGTACTATTTAAGCAATGGATGCCCTCTCTTTTCCTTACCCTTCCCTGCCCAAGCAAGTGTGCAGTGGCCTGCAGACATGTGACTCTGCCTAGTGTTTATATCAAGTCTATTATGCAGAGCTAACTTTGAATTATTTAGTAAAGGTTAAGTAATGAATTTTGACATTTTTTATAAATCGCCTGTTTATTTTAACTTAAGTAACAGCTGTGACTCATTGCTTAGTTGACTGCAAAATTGAGAACATAATTTTACTTTACAGTGAGTTTTTGGTTTTTTTTTTAGGGGAACGGGAAGCAATTTACATTTTTGTTAAAGAAATCTGTTTTTCTTTTCATCTGCAGAGTACCTTTATGGTTATCAATGCCTTCTTGGGGGCTTTTTACTTATAGAAAAACTGAGGCTAAATTTGGAGACACTCGTTTTATAAGGTGTGGAATATGCAATTAATGAAGATAACAGCAGGTGACTAAGCTGAATTATCTATATTTACAAGGTGATAATTAGTTATATAAAAGAACAGAAGAAAAGAAAGCAAAGCATTCATTTCAAAATAATAAGATTTGTATTAGGACAAATTTAATGAAATTCAGAAGGCTCAAGTTTAATACCCATATGTCAAAACAACCCAGCTAGTTTTCTTGTTGCTTAATTATGGCAACGTTGTTATTCCTCTTAGCTCCTAATTAATCAGTGTTCACAGGTGCCACGTGGTGCTTTTATAACCTGGTGCCTCCACGTTCAGCCTAGCGGCTGGGGAGGAGGGCCCTGGAGAGTCCTGCAGCAGGAGGCACAGCGGCTGCTTAGTCCAGCCACCACGGACATTGACTAAATGAGCACTGAACCCGTGCTCTAGATGAAATTCAGTTAGGTTTCCTGTGAGCCTGAACATTCTGATCTACTGGTATGTTGTATAAAGATATCTAATTTAATATGTGTGGTTAAATCCTTATTATTGAACTCACAACCAGCATTGTTACAGAGGACCGGAAACACACACACACAAAACAAGCCATGAAAATACAGAGTCTATGGATGATGAGGATTGGCTGTCAGTGCTTCCCACCATAAGTTACATAAGTCACTCCCATCCATTTTTCATTGACCAATGCAAATCATAAGACCGTAAGGGTGAGTATATAGTCACGCTGTGCTCTCCAAGAACTCAAAGAATTGAGGCAAGTACCAAAGTTTAACGGTGACATTTTTAGTCACCAATGGATTATTTGATATTTGTGGCAGAGTTTATTTCCCAAAAGTAGTTGCAGCATTAAGTCCTGTGCAACATTCTGTTCTTATAATGTGACTTTGCCACACCTTCCACCGAGAAGTAAAGATCTATGTTTCCTTTCCCTGAAACTCGGCAGGTGTGTGACTACAGTAGAAGTCACACTGTGATGTCTGAGGATAAGTTATTAAAAACTTCCATCATATTCTCTTTGGAACACTTACTCTTAAAAAACCAACAACCACACCGAGAGTAAGCCCAAGCAGCTCCATGGAGAGCCATGTGTGGGTCCCTAGCAGAGGTCCTGGCTGACAATGGCATCAACCACCTCACATGTGAGTGACCAAGGGTTCAGGCAACTCCGGGCCCCCACCACTGAGTTGCCTTTGGGCATCCTCAGTTCCTCCACACCGAGGCCCCCAAGGTCATGGAGCAGACACAAGCTAGCCCCACAGAGGCCTCAGAATCTGCGAGCGTAACAAATTGTTGTTATTCTAATGCCACTCACTTTGGGGTAATTCGTTTTTCAGGAATAATAACTGGATGTGTATTTTCTATGTGTAGTGCTGTAGAGGTGCTGGTGGGTGTTAGCAATGAATGAAATTTGGTTCTACTCCACATATTTTTCTATCAAGTCATTCTTTACTCTGGGGTCATTCTTACACCCACGATGTAAAGAACTATTTGGTCTTTTGCTTTTTTGTTTGTTAATCCTCACCTGAGGCTATTTTTTTTTTTTTCCATTTTCAGAGAGAGAGAAAGGGATGGAGGGAGAGAGAGAAGCATTGGTGTGAGAGAGACACATCAATCGGTTGCTTCCTGCACATGCCCAGTCAGGAGTGAACCCAAGACCCTTTGGTGATTGGGCAGAGGTTCTAACCACTGAGAACACCTACCAGGGCAACAATTTGGTCTTTTTATTGTCACCACTGCCTCAGATATAATGACTATAAAGTTGGTATCCTAACAGGAAATGTAATCTTTTGTTTGCCCGGCTTATTTATTTATTTATTTGTGAGGATTATAATACTCATCTATTATTAAGATACAAAATAACCCAGCAAGCCCCTTTTATGCTAAGCCCTTTGCTCAGTGCCTGACACATAATTGCTTGATAAATGTTGGATGAGTGCCGGTCAGAAACACAGATGTGGGTGAGTGTTCTTAGGAGCACCTGTGAACAACCTTCCTCATGGGCCACAGAAAATGAAGAGTCACTTATTGAATGTGGGGTTGAGGATAAGAAAGCTAAGGTCTGAAGCTGGGAATGTCTTTAAAAATTTAAAAAGTTAATTCTAATCAATATAAGGCTTGATATAACTTCTGAAACTGTGGTGAGTGTTTATTAAAAAAAAATAGACGCCATTTATGTGACTTTCAAAGGTTCATGCTTTTGAAGTAAAAGGAAACAACCCAATACCCCACAACTAGACAGCTCATATTCTCAAAAAAAGCTCTAAAAATAAAGGAAATCCTTTCTACAGCTAGGAGGAAATGTCTCTAATAGTTATGGGTTAAAGACCATTTCCTAAAAACGTAGGGCTGTGAAGATGTTCCCTTAAGCTCTTATGTATGGAACTTTTGCTGTTGCCATACCTCGTGGTCGGCAAACTGCGGCTCACGAGCCACATGAGGCTCTTTGGCCCCTTGAATGTGGCTCTTCCATAAAATACCACGGCCCGGGCGAGTCTATTTTGAAGAAGTGACGTTAGAAGAAGTTTAAGTTTTAAAAATTTGGCTCTCAAAAGAAATTTCTATCGTTTTACTGTTGACATTTGGCTCTGTTGACTAACGAGTTTGCCAACCACTGCCATACACCATTGCATTATTCCTCAATTAGGACAAATTACAAAATTGGTAGAATTGGACCTGACTACCTAGTGACTTTTTAGAACATAGGTGCTTCAGTGCTCTCCGTTCTAGGAAGTGGAACTGCCCTGCCCCAGTCTTGAACCAGTCAGTTTTCAGCCTTCTTATGGGTCCTGCATCATGGTCTCCCCGAGCCATTTTACACCTGCGTTTGAGTCTCATGTTCACAGTGAGTTCCAAGCATGAGAGAGGTCAATGGCAGGACGGAGGAAGTTT